AACCACTTCTGAATTGGTACCAGGCTTCTGTCGGTCAAAGTCAAATGTCCGGACCCCGGGGTCGCTTCGCACGATCAAAAGCCCGACAAGGGGATAGTCTCAGGCATCAAATCCCCGCCCCTTGCCCGCACTCTCCCCCCCCCCCTCCACGGGATTTACATTGATAGGTGCATAAACCACACAATTTTGGCCTCGTTCGACCTTGCCGGCCTTGCCACAGCTCGGCTAGCTTTTTACCGGTACACTGCAAGCAGTCTCTTGTTTTTCTTTGCAAAGTTACTGCACGCGAGCGGCGAAGCCGCGAGCCGTGAGAAACAAAGCGTAAGCCCGAGAAGAAAAAATAAGAGTGCAAGCAGTCTATTTTCCGGGAATTCGACTTAATTCAGCCTGGTAATGGCACGACTTTTGAAAAAAAGTCTGCCTTGTAGCATGACAAAGCTTGCCGTCAACATATATATATAAACGCAGTCACTTCAAAGTACATGGAAAGGCGATTGGACAAATTGGACAAAAAAGATGAGACTGAAAATCACCCTCCTATATCGAATCAAGTGTTTTTTCCCGAAAATGTTCGAATTTAAATATCGTCGTGTCATAGCGCCACACAAAGACTTTGTACTGTTGCAGCGCGATCCGATCAGTTTCCCGCGCATCTCAAATTTTTCATACTTGCTTGCTGCCTACAATACAACTATCTACGCTATGTCTTTAAAAACGAAAAACACGTGCTTTACAGTCGAAAACTTGAGATTGGTACACGCTGTCAGGATGATTACGACTACATTTTTGGCAGTTTTCAGTTTTCAGGTTTGTTTGGATGAGAAATGTTCAAAATGTTATGTTCATGGGAGAACTCTGCGCTTGTCCGCGCCTCGTGCTTTGTGCTGTTCTCAACGTAAACAAATTGCAGATGCAGGTGCAAGTGCCGTCATGCCCATGCATTTCGACCACACATGCAATCAATCCTTGTATTCACAACCACCGGTAATTAACAACCAAGATGCTAATTTCGCAATGTTTTAAGAAATTCTAAACACCGTATTGTGTTTTTAACTCCCCTCCTCATGAACGTATTATCACCTTTTTCTCTTCTAGTTCTTGCGAAATGTGGAAACCTGAGACTCAAGTTAATCCACTGGAAAGTGTGCTTTGACTGAAACTGGGCTGTATAAAGAGTCATGGAAATAACTTCTGTGGTACAAAATTTGCAGCAAACCCAACAACTGAAGCCATAACTAGAACTTAAGGTAAGAAAACTTTCATTTCATAGGTCATTTTCCAAGTCAAAACAAATTACTGGCAAGGTTGTGTTCACAAATATCAAACCCCAAATTATTAACCATTACAAAATACTCTACACGCATTAGACTCCCGATTTAATTGTATCTAGGTACAGAACAGTACTTAAAATATCATTCTTTAAACTTGGGTCCCTTAAAAGCCGTTTTAATTAGTGTCCTACATTTTAAAATTAGTTTTTGTACTGTCGTCATTTGACGTACATGAGCGAGACAAGCGAGTGATCTGAATTTCTTAAATCAAGTACGTACGAATTGCATTTCGTCGCATTCAGCGGAAACTGAGCTGCTAGGTTTCAAGTACACTAACAAGTAAAACCTTGACCCTTGGCAAAAATTTTAGTCAGAGTAATTACGGTTTATTTGGATTTAAATATTTCTGCATGTCACGCAGTAGAAAAAAAGAACGCAGGGGGTACTGGGGAGAGTTTTGAACAATTTTGCGTCATTTCCATCGATTATGGCCCCGGCTACACTCAGCCAAGGAAAAGTGCTTTCGATTTGTTTAATGGACATGCAGCGTTGTTGCTTTGGTCATTAAACCTATTGCTTTTTTGACGTCCCCATTGCCGTCGCCGTAAGTGAGGAACCTCAAGCAACGACGCCAAACGGGGACGGCCACGTCATCGAAAACGTCACTTTTTATCCGGGTAGGCGTGTCACCTTTTGTGTTTTGTTGTTTATGGAAACGGTTTGCCACTTTCTGTAAAAAAAAGTATGAAAAGTTGGCTCGCCTCTCAGGGTAACTAGGGTACTGGCGAGGGACCCTAATCATCTCCTGCCCTACCTGGGATCAAGTGGATCACGTGGTCATGTCCGGTCAATCGGACTCATGTGAAGAGGCCCGCCCTCACTCAGACGAGTTGTGAACCTGTTACCTTCAGAGCAAACAAGAACACTTGGCCACTGAACCTTTAATCGTTTGAAATGTTTTGCAAGATTTTTCCTGTAACCAGGACCTGCTGCAACCAGCCGAAGTCAGTTAACCCCTAAGAATTTAATGATTTATCTTTTCATTCCTTTTGAATGCCATTGGGTATTCACTCAGTACTGCAGAAGACTATGTGGCAACAGTATCAAAAAATAACAAAAAATATTGATGCTTTTCAGATTCAGTTTTTTGACTAGCCTGTAAAAATTTGCGGGCTGTTTGTTGACTGTGTTCAAAGTAAACTTTTACCTTAGCCGTTTGATTTATATCACTTATCTGAGCTGTTCCAATTTTTTGCTCGTATAAACGGGCCTTCTAGTAATCTGCATCCGCCCGTCTTTCACTGCCCATGCGTCTGCAACTTCTCTAGAATCATGCTTAACAGTTCCTCAGCACGCAGTTCGACGACACCTTTAATATGTCATTTTTGAAGCCATTTTTGTTTACTAAAGAGAAGACTGGCTGGCCCACTGCGAGTAACCGAGTTCTCGGCAAGCGCTTTTCATATATGAGGAAGTAAGGCATGAGTCGACCCGGACCTACCTCACTTCATAATTTTGATCACGGGTTCCGGTCCCAGATTCTTTTCACTTAGCCTGCGTAGCTGGCGGTATGTGCGTGCTGGGCTACTTTCTTCCGCCGCCAAGCAGGGATTTTACAATTGACTTGTACCCACTCTTCTCGCGGCTCCGCTGCAAGAACAATTATAGACCTTTTTACCAATACGGCGGCCATATAGGACAATTGCACGATGACGACATTTGACTACAACTACCAGAATTCAATTCGGTTTTGCTTTGTTATTTAAATTTGTCAATCCCGCTGAGGATTAAGGAACAATAGCCTTAATTTGCACAAGAAAACAACAAACTCAAGGATTCTGGTAGTTGTAGTAAAATGACGTCATCGTGCAATTGTCCTATTGAGTTTATTAGATTTAAGGAGTATTATGGGATGCCCAGGGGGGCACTCGCTCACTATTTACGCGGGCTTTTCGGGCAAAAAGAGAACTTCAATGTATATTTCTCGGGAAAAAGGCGATCGTTATTACATCCAAAGACGGCACAATGATCTTTTTTTCTCATTACATTTTTTTCTAGGAAAACTTAAAGAGAGATTGGCCCGAAAAGTGCGCGTAAATATGAGATCGTGCTCACGCCCCCCTGGGCATCCCATAATACTCCTTAAATCCAATTAATTCAATATGGCCGCTGTATCGGTAAAAAGGTCTATTACCGCACTCCCACGTAAATCCCGCCAGCTACGCAGGCTACTTTTTACTTGTCTTGTCCTTTTGGTTTTTCTTCCTTTAATACTAATGTTGGCTCTTTTCCCGCAAAGTTCTGCGAGACACGTACTTCTAGTTTGTCCGTGACTTGCATTAATTGAAAAGGATTAAAGGAGGAAGTTACGCAAACCTTTGGAATGATAAAGATGAAAGTCAAGGTCCTGGTCACTAACTCAGCACTGTGACCCCCTTCCTATACTGAAATAGTTGTTATGCTTGTGCGGTTTTTATGCTTCCGCTCTCGCAGTCTTGCCAGTGTGATTTTATTTTTACATGTAACAAAATTACGCAGATGTCATTGACCTTATATTCGCGTTCTTCATTTAAAAGTATCCTCATTTAAAACATTATTTTATAGTTCCTAGGAATTCTTTCGCGTGCAATCACGAAAATAGGCCATTTCTGAGACTTCCAAACCCCTCACTCTATAGGCACTATCAAAACGAGGCCAAAATACTGAAACGTTTGATAGGAAAATAAGTTTTTTTTGCAGTGGAACAGAAAGTAAACATCCCATTCATCCCCGTTGTCAAAAAGAGGCTATGGCTTACACTTTTCCGGGAAACGCCGGCATTTTCTGTTGATTTTCGCCGCGTTTTTTTAACCTTGGGTTTTCCCTGAGTTGGCGACTTATGAATGAAGTTGTAACCAGTTTATGTTTGTATTTTTTTGCTGCCTTAGATGAGTTCCTTTTTCCTGCGTGTTCCACTTTTCCAAAGAAATAGGATACTGAATAATTTATCACACGTTAGTGGACGAGGAAAAAACGTCTTTTCCGGTTCTAAATTTTTGAATACCATTAGTCTCTTCATTCATTTAGCTTCGTGGGAAGTTATAATTCGTCTGATGTTTCCTGTTACAGATAAGCTCGCTGAATTTATTTACATTTTCCTTCCGCTTTTTACAAGTGTATACAGGCCCTGGGCGGGTATATGAACTGAAAATATAACATTTCAGGATGTTAACGGACAATCTGCTCCGAGCTTCTACATCAGAAAGTTACAATGAGAAAAAAGTTTTTTTTAGAATCAGAAACACAATTTTGTACTCGATCATGGTGATTAGACAATTCTATTTTTCTAATAAATATGTCATTCAATATTTACGTTGTGAAATTTTACGGTCGAAGATTTTTTTAAATATTTGATACGTAAGCATCGAAAGATTTGTATCTAGTTTTTGCTTATGATATATTTTTCTTTGGTGGTGGAGCTCTTGTATCGATTTCCTCAATTTTTTTGACGCGGAGTTACGATAAATATTTTTTCTCAGATCAGGGAACTTCTGTTTAAGTTGACACGATGGTTTGCCATATATGGTATTCCTGGAGGTGTGTTGCTTACGTATAGCCGGTTCTGGTTTTGATTGGCTGTGAAAGATGGTTCCAGCGAGAAATGTGTCAATGGACGAAGAGCCTTCTTGTCGATGTTGTCTAACTGCAATAATGTTGTCAGCTTTATAAAGGATTTTTCTTGGCTGTTTTGGCCGAGGCTTGTCCTGGAATGATGAGTGATGAAGAAGATATATCCAGTGAGGTAGATTCGCTGAGAGATTTATGCGGACTGCAAACCAGGGATGAGAATTCACGACATCAATTTCTTGAGTCGTTAGCAAGAACGGTCAAAGCGTGGACAAACAGGCAACGAGAAAATGTGGAAAATGGTTTCGAAAACTCTATTTCGGACATTTTACCTTGCATTTTACGTCTTTCATTAAGGTGTCCTTTCTCAGATATCAGGCAAAGTTGTTCAGATTTGCTTAATGCCATAAAGGTAAGAAATGTCGACAACGTAACCCCTTTTAACAGTGTAGCTTGTGTTTAGAGAAATAGCTCATAGTAGACTTGTTTTTTCTTTTCTTAGGGAAAAGGGATAAAGATTCCAAGACCAGTTTTCAAGGGAGCATCAAGTTTTATTCCATCCAAAGAGGTATTTCGTTGTCTTTAGGTTTGCCATACTATTCAGTCAGTGTAAGCAAAACTTTTTGGTTAGAGGTTTAGGAGCACACAAACAACATCATCGCGTTAAACCTGGCCTGAACAGATGTACAAAAAATTTAGCTTACATTGCTTGAAATATCACATCTATTCTATGCCTTTACTGTTGTTTATAAGTTAATTTTGTTAACAGACCGTTCTCTTGCAGACTGCAATAACAGTTAAGATCAAACACGAAGTACACATCTTTATAATGTCGTCGAAACTTCATATAGCTCGTAGCTCGCTATTATTTATATGATCAGTGGTTTAAACTGGTCAACCTATTGGAAAGCTGGAAAATTGCCACACAGGGCGAAACTGGATTAATAACAGTTTCTTTTTATTGTACCAAGTCGTACTCTATTTGTAACTAAATCCTTTGTGAGATTTTACATGCTGGAATCTATAAAGCATGCTTTGTCTTGCGTGAAACGCGAGTTTGTTTTTACAATAATATGTACCCCACAATACTAAAAATTTGTTATAACTGAAACCTTATCTGTCCAAATTAAAAGAAAATTGGAATTGTGAAAGCTGTAACTTTCTTGTTGTTGTCACAACCAATTAAAATTATCACATGCAAATGGCCCTGTTTTAATTACTGTGGAAATATCTGATTTATTGAAGTTAATTTATAATTAAAATTCATTTTGCAAAACAGGGTTTGCAAAATTCCTGACTTTGGGAAAACTAAGTTTGTCGTTTTGATGCCTGATTCGTTTGGAAGGTTACCTATAATTTGATTGATTTCAATAGATATGGAGGATGTGTGAAAATTAATACAGTTTTCCACTAGAAGAGCAAGTGGTGTTAAAACTGCATGTAGTCGCATGGTGATGATAAAAAAATTGATAATAAACTGAACTTCAATTTTGATTCGGGCAAGATGGGAAATTTTAAGGTGGAAATGCTTGCTTTAAGAAGAATGGAAACTTGATGAGGTTGTAGATACCATTTTGAAGAGCGAGCGAGATGATGCAATAATGTATTATGTGACAACATACCCTTGGGACTTAGAGCAGTGACCCTTAAGATGCCCCTGTTAAATTCCCTCAAGTGCTGTTTGCATTCCTCCTACTGTTCATTAATTGTGGCCCAGACTGTTACATTTTATAAGTGGTACAACTGTGAAACAAACTTTATGTTAATATTGTGGATTTTACCATTATACCATAATCCTAGAGCTGAAAACACTTTTACAATCATGTTTTTATTAGTTTACAAACTAGCTCCCTGAAAGTGGGATTTGTTTGACCTGCCTGTTCTGATGTGAGTTGAAGTGTAAGGTCACCTTGGAATGATGATAGTTGATGAATGAATATTAAACTTTTGCTTGTGTTTGGACAAAAACTGTTCTCAGCAGTAATTAACGTATCAGGTTCTACCACAAGGTAGTTAATAATTAAAAGATGCTAGGAAGTCAGTTCCAAGGGAGAGCATATGATCACCTCAGAAGTGCTACAGTGGGTTCAGTGTCCAACCTCAAGGTTAATTGTATTTTTCTGTGATTTAAGATTTAATGGTCTGATCAAACAGTGACAGCTGATAATGGGTTTTTGGTCAGCTGTTATCAAGTAAATTAACACTGGGACATATCTGTTGTTGTATTAGATTTCCAACTGAAAGTCAACACTCGTTTTAGGCTAGATTATAAAGTACCCATGCACTATTGTCATATCTTTGAAAAAGAACAAATCTATGTCTTTGTGTTCTCCATTTCATAGTGCATAGACAAAATAAAAAAACTAATGTGATGATAAGTCACCGTATTCTCATATTGCTCCCATTTTTAATTGTGCTCATGAACAGGCTAAAAACAATAAAAAAGGAAGCCAACTTGAAGTGATCTTCATGGCATGAAAAATTGTGCCTAATACAGCTGCCAAATAATGCCTAAATTTTCCCAATTGGCTGCCACTGGATAGATATTAAGCCAGTGGTTAGCATTTACCAAATATTAACTCTTTAAATTGTTAAGTAGCAATTTATTTCATCTTGTGTAATCATTTCCTTAACTCTCGTAACCACTCTCTTTTATTGGCATTGATATAAAAAGGAGAATTTTGATGTTGATCACTCTTGGGGCTTATTAAAGGGTTAAACAACTGGGGCCATTGTCTGTGGACTTTGTTTTATACTGAATACATTTGAATTTAATGCTTCAGGTAGTTGCTATGGACACAGATGATGAACAAGTTCTTAGCTTGCTTGTGGAGTCTTTCCTTCTCAGTGGTCGGGTCACGAATGTCACATGCCTCATTGCATTTCACCCTCAGTATCTTGAGTGCTTCCTGAGAACTGAGTATTTCATGTTTAAAGGAGAAGGTCCTTTACCATTTGATTGGAGATGTTACATTGCTATTATGGTGAGAGAATGTTTAAGTTTTCCATTCATATTCCTTTATAAAATCGAACATCATGGTATTTAAGTGATTTGTAAACATACCTTTGTTTAGTAGTTAGCTCTAATATGTTAATTTCAGTTTGTAAGCTGCCCAGATTCAAAAATACGGTAAAATTCTGAAAATAAGCCCTGGGGCTTATATTTTTCAAGGGCCCTTTTTGAGGGGCTTATGTTTGGAGGGGCTTATATTCGGAGGGGCTTATCTACGGAGGGAAATTTGCATTTCAAAATTGATTAGGCTAGCTTTTAGTGGGAAGGAAATTTACCATTTTGCTTTGTTTTACTTTGTATTCGAGGTCAAATTCCAAGTACAAGCCCCTCGGGGGGCTTATATTCGTAGTGGGGGGATTTAACGGAGGGTTTTTTGTGTTACAGTTTTGGGGGGGCTTATACATGGAGGGGCTTATTTTTGGAATTGTACGTTACGTAATATAGTTGTTGTTGTTTGTTATTTGTTGTTTACCTCCAGTAAGTAACCACCCAAAATGTGAAGATTTGGTGGTGGCTTAAGTGAGGTGATCTCTTAAGAGAATCAAACCACAGGGGTCTTATCCAAGCAGGGGTCCTGATGAATCTACCTTTTGTAAGAGAATTTATTGCACGTAATTTTTTGACTAAGGATATTTGTAGTTCCATTTGTTCTTCTTTTTCTTTGAGTAGCATAGTACAGGGTTCGCATGCACCTTGAAAATTGAAAGTCCCAGAAAATTGCAGTCAGTGCTGGAAAGTCCTTGAATTTCAATGCTAACTTTATAGTTTAAGTCAAACTCTAAAGAAAAAGGAGTAACCACAGAAAGACCTTTGGGATAAAATTACTCATGTTGTGGAAAAACTAAAAAAGACATAGACTCAAGGCTCTATTTTGCACTGAATGGAGTCCTTGAAAAATGGGAAATGTGTCCTTTAAAAGTCCCTGAATTTTTGTTCAAAAAAGGGTACGAACCCTGATAGTATATACATGGGCGTTTATGAGAGGTTCCAAATACATGTATAAGGCTTTGACTAAAAAGTGTGTGGTATTTTTGATTGGTGATCACTTGTGGGAGGAGGCTGTTTACAAGAGCTGGTTCCACCAGAGGTAAAAAATACCTTAAATACAATAGTTTCAATGATGACTTGCTGTCATCTTGATCTTAACAAGTACCTCAAAAAGTAGTTAGGTCCTTGTTCAAACCTTACTACTAGTTTCTCTGTTATGTATTAAACTTTTAATTTATGTAATAACAGAATCAAACGGTTTCAGTCTGAAATAGGAAAACAAAATTTTTGTTATCTCAATTTTCTAATTGTAATTTCTCTCTCTTTTTTTTAGGCTGCAAGCAGACATCGCTGCTGCTATTTGGTAACATAATTTTGTTTTAAATTATTATTCAAAAAACTCTTCTAAATCTGAAGGAAGCTGGATCTGAAATGTTCTCTGCAATAATGTTTCTTGGCATTGTTACTGGGGAGATGCCGGTCAGCTATTAGCCCAATTTTTCCCTTCCCTAGTAACAGTCTCAAAAGTCTTTGCGAAAGTTAACTCAGCCCAGTTCTCGACGCCTTTCTAAAGTGGCGAATGCTGTCTCTCATAAGGCTGGTTTTCACTAGTGATGGAGTCGGAGTCATAAGAGTGCTTATGACTTGGTGAAAATCAAGAATTGGAGTCGTAAGTGGAGTCATAATTACTATGGAATTGGAGTCAGAATAATCTGAACGTGTCCATTTTCTTCTGACTCCATTTATGACTCGGTCTCTTACAGTCTAGTGAAAACCAGATTGTCTGAGTTGGAAATCACATCACACATTTCCACACTTTGTGATTGGTTTAGTTCCTCTGCTTCTGCATGCAACTCTGACAACCTAGTTTTCACTTGATCATAAATGATGGCGTGGTAAGTGGAATCAGAGTGCTGTTTTCACTAGATTGTAAAGTTTTACGACTCCGTGGCTAGTGAAAACCGGCCTATAGGGGAATTCTTATGTTTGTTTATAGGTGCAGTTATATGAGGTGGAGTTTCTTAAACAGCAGGGTAAGAAAGCATGGCTTCAAGGTCTTGACCATATCCCGGCTAAACTAAGAGCGCTTTCTGAAATCAACAAAATCTTGGCACATCAGCCTTGGTTACTCTGCCCAAGTCACATTGAGGTATGACATCATCACTCAAATGCCTTATGCTTGCTACATTGTTAGAACATACTTTTATGCAACATCTACAGTGTACAGACACAATGTGATATTCATTTGCAGTTAACAGTTCTGTTTCTATTGGGAAACTTAAGCTTTTTAGACAGTTTCTTTTACTTAGCCTTGTTTCATGACCAAGCCTTAAATTTCTTTCTCTCCACCGCCATTTTATGTTAGTGTATAAACTAAAATTATTATTATTTTAATATTAACTTAATATAGTAAATTTTGTTGTAGTTCAAAATGAAATTCATTTGTTGATAAAAATGTTTTCAATCTAGTTTACTCTTAACTATTAGTGATTGTGAATAACATCATCAGTTATGAAATTTTATATTAGTGGTAGGAGACGAACTAAGGAATTTGATGATGATATTCACAATGGTGAATGATTAGCTTTAGGCAACAAAGGAAAGACAGTGAGAATCAAACTAGGGTAAAACCGTCGTGACTTGAATTTAATTTTGAAATGGTTATTTCATGAACCATTTTTTTTTATTTCGTAGAAACTCCTGAAAGGACAGGACAATTGGTCATTATCTGAACTCATCCAAGCTATTGTAATCCTCACCCACATTCATTCAATGTGCAGTTTTGTGTACGGTTGTGGTATCACGCCGGAAATTGATCGTAATGGAGGGCACACCTTTAAGCCCCCTTCACTGTCTGATTCCAACCAAACAAGTCTTGATGGTGATAATCTCCCTGTAAATGGAATACACAGCAGTTCCTGCATGACAGAATTGGTGGAAAAAATGAAAGAAGTTGAAGCGGAACATAACAATACAATTATGCAGACCACACAAGAGGAGCTATTTCAACATTTTGAAAAAGTGGAAAGTGGTGAAGGTAACTAGACAGTCTATTAATAGGGCTCAGACCGAAAATTGCGAGAGTCTGAAGTTCTTTTTGTGAATATGACAGGTTCAGTCAATTTGATTAACTTACATCAAGACTATGTCTATTCTAATAATTTCTCCTTACGATTCAAATAAAGTTATTTTTCATTTTGTACAATTCATTTTTTTCTCAAGTTAATATTATAACACACTTCTATTTTCTGATTTGCAAAAAAACGTTGTGCAAAGGCAAAATGTCATAATAATAATAATAATAATAATAATAATAATAATAATAATAATAATAGTTTATTTCTTACAAGGCGCAAATTAACATCTGAATATGATCAAATGCGTCTTACAACTTTAACTGCCTGTAATAATTACAATAAAGTATACTTAAGAGTACCTAAAAATTTATAATCTAAAATTTATCAATCTAACTATAACAGGCAAAAGCCTTCCTAAATAAGTAAGTCTTTATTGTTCGTTTAAAAACCAAAAGTTATCGATGTCTCTGACACTTGCAGGCAGACTGTTCCACAGTGCAGGGGCAGCTATTTGGAATGATCTGTCACCGAGAGTTTTTTTGATACTTTAGCAAAGGATGTTTTTAATGATGTTATTATTGTACTGATAATGACGATTGTGAAAATGGTGATGATGATTATGATGATGATAATGATGTTAAATGCAGTAGCAAAGGTGATCAGCCCAGTCAAAATGTTTTGCAGTTCTCTATTAGGCCAGGGAAACTAGAGTAGCAGGTAGTAAAGGCCTAGGTTTTTTGTATAATGTTTTTACACTTACATTAAGTTTTAAGTCAACTGCAAATAGCTTATTCCACTGAAAGCCGCAAAATTGCAAGTGCCAGGTCATTTTGACAAGGTTGCTGATGATCCTCAGGGTTGTCACTAAGATTTCAAGTTGCCGGGTAAATACAGCAAGTAGGCGGGGAATCAAACGGCTAGGGATCTTTTTTGGTTCTATTTTTCTTCTATTTTCCAATAAAAGTAGCCGGGGGCCACTCTCTTAGTAGCCAGGGAAAATCCCCGGCCCTGGGCTCTTAATGACAACCCTGATCCTATCGGCAGGAAAGTTTGAATTTGTGTTTTTTTTCTCTTCTAGTCCCTCACTAATATACTATGTACATGTGCATGTATTTTTGTTTATTTTAGTGGCCACAGGGAAAGAAGAAGTAGCATCAGTAAATGAAACTCCACAGCCAAGTATTGCTCGATACCTTGAGGATGCGTCATTTGGTTACAGTGATTTTGCAAGCAGGGATAGTGCTATGGATATCTCAACATTCAAAGTTCAGGATTATTCCTGGGAAGAACATGGCTTTTCACTGATCAACAGACTGTACCCTGATATTGGCCAGATGCTTGATGACAAATTTAGCTGCACTGTTAACTTAACCTATAACACGTAAGGATATGATACTTATATGTAATTATTAATACCATGAGGCACTGAATTTTTCCAGCTTTCCAGGGCTGTGATCTATGGCGACTAGAAAATATCAGATTTTTCATACAAATCATATGCTGGGCACCCTAGATTTTACAGTTTCCGAGCACTGGGCTCCCTTCAATTTTCCTTAGAGCACAGCCTTGGCTTTCCAGCAAATAGTTTCTCCACAAATGTTTACTCATTCATTCATGTCATTCATCCATTCATTTATCTTGCCATTAACCTCATATACATACATGTACGACAACAATATACAAGACATTTATAATACATTAAAGATAATATATACTATTCTAACTAAATTATTTACAAAATTAAATGTTTAAAGTGGTAATGACAAGTAAGCCTATATAGAAGCCGGGGGCTTATACATGATAGGCCTCCTATCAATGCTTGGATGATCAACTGTCCAACATTGTATCACCATTTAATGGTGAAACGATGTCTGGCATTATTCAGTTGAGTAGAATACCCCATAGTGTTGTCACTAAGATTTCAAGTTGCCTGGTATATGCAATTAGTTGGCAGGGAATTTGAAAGGAACAGAGTATTTCTGGTTCCATTTTCTTCTTGTTTCCTATGAAAGTAGCTGGGGTTCATGCTCTTAGTAACCTGAGGAAAACACCGACTCCAGGCCCTTAGTGACACCCTGCCCTCTTAAGTTTATCTCAAAAAAAAAAAACAATTTACCATCCTTCTTTATTTATATCTCAGTTTTCAACTGTTCATTCAACAATAATATTTTTATGAAATTCTTGAGCCTCTGCTGATGTGTGTGATGTTAATTCCGGACTAAAAGGAAATGATTATCATCATCAACAATAAATAAAATTTTTTTTTTAGTAATTGAAAATTTATTATTAAAGTTAAAATATTAAGTTAATTTATTATTATTTATAGATCTCTGTTTTTGTCTTTGGATTACATGTATGTTCCTTTGTCTCTAGGCTTGGTAAAGTAGAAAATGTGGACACATCAACTTTCCGCATGGCAACTTGGAATTACATCCATCTGATATTTGGCATATATCATGATGACTACTTGTACACAGAGGTATGATCAGTTTACAAGTTTATCGTTTTTGTGTGGTGTCTGTTTGAGGCTCCTGTTAGAGTGTGGAAGGACTGAATTGCTGCATGAAGGACACGAACGGTTGGTGCCTGTGCGTCAAATGCTGATTGAGACTGACTAAACTTGACCTTGACTTGTGTCACAAGACACAGGCTGTAGCCTGAAGTCCTTCAGCAGTTTCTCTGTCTAAATCTGGCAAAACAAAGTTTTAAATTTTTCAAACTAATGGTTTAGTGCCAATTTAATTTCACTAGCCTGACAGTTTTTACTTGTAAGAACAGGTGAGCTTCATTTCACTGTTCAAATTTTTTTGCTGTTGTTGTAAAAGTAAGGCATGTTAAATATAAATCGTGGTTGCCTTGTTTATTGTTGCTGTTTTTTGTCTATTTATAGGTTAACAAACTGTTGGAGAGGTCATATAAAAAATATATAAAAGTGGTATGTTTAATTTAGGATTGTATTTCACAATCTGGTTTCATTGTATTAACACTAAATGCGTTTCATTTCAGAGTGTTGCATTGTAGACTTCCTCTGTAAATACTAAAAAGATACGAGACAAAAATATCCATTGTTTTCATGTAAAGGGCCACAGGAGACAAAATAATATTAAATGGGCTAAGCTGTACATTTTCAGGCTTTTACAAACTTACTCTAGAAAAGAAAAGTGGTGGAAACTTTGGGAAAAACGGACAGGAACATTAAAGGGCTGGAAGTTTGGGTTAACTTGAAAAAATGTCTGCATACATCGTTTTAAGTTTGAATATTTGGATGTCAGTTTGTATGAAAGGTCTGATTTTTTAAAAATTATCTCATGTTATCTCTTTTGCATGTTGTGTTCGTGACTTTTATCAGGTTTTAGACTTTTTGTTTTAATTTGCAACGTGAAGGTTAAGCCCATAATTAATAAGTTAAGACAAACAAAATTACCTGAGGTACAATGACTAAGCCTCTTATGGTGCAAATTTTTCGTTGACTATTATGACGAAATTCAATATTGCATTGGGTGAAGGCAAACTCTTACATGTTTCTCTTGCTAGGCATTTCATGTAATATATCAAGCATGAGACGCAGTGTTTCATCACCAGGTGAAACACTGAGAAGAGAGTTGAAAATACAGCACGCAGCAGAGTATTTTTGACAAACTTTGAGGTGTTTCATCTGGTGATGGAGCGCTGCGTCACATGCTTGATATTGCATCTCAAACAAAATGATTTTTGAAGTAGAAATTAAGGATGCAAAAATCAGCAGTTTTTCATCTGATTTTTAAATACTCTTTAAATATTAATTTCCTTTGTATTTTCTTTATGGATTACAGTCAACTCTCTCTAAGACGGACACTTTTGGGACCGGCACCAAGTGTCCGTCTTAGACAGGTGTCCGTCTTATAGAGAGTCAAATAAAAGGAATAAAGAAAGGCAGGGACCAATTCTAAGTGTCCGTTTTACAGAGGTGTCCGTCTTATAGAGGTGTCCGTTGAGAGAGAGTCGACTGTATTAATGAGTTTGGGAAATATATTGCCAGCAATTTCCAGTTTGTTCATAAAACTGTATCTATCTTTTTCGATGAACTGAGGTAATTACTTGGGTGAGGCTTCAGGACACTTGATTACGAAAGACTTCAATACACTTTTAACTTTCAGTGTATATATTTGCGTGTTCCACGTTGACTCTGTATTTCTGTTGTCTTAAGGTGGCTTGTTATCCCGAGAGAGTATCATTAGATGATTACATGGGATTTATGCCTGATCTAACCCATTCAGAAAAGGTACATGTTCAGTTTTGTCCGAAGGTTATTGTATATTTATTCTTTTTTTCCTTATTATCGTACAATACCTTATTATAAGCCTGGTAGTTTCTTGGTTTCGTTGCGTAACAACATACTCTATTCTGTAAAATTCATTTTAATATCAAGGCTAATAAATGATGATGTTGATGACAATGGTGATAATGATGATGATATTCCAAAACAAAGGAAAATATAATCTTAATCAATGATACAGTTGAACCACAACATATATTTTGTTTGTTATTCATTTTTATTGTATTTGCTATCTTATTTGACTTTAATTAGTATTACTTGAATCCAAAAGTGGTTTGTTTTCTAAGATAAAGTTATGAAGTTCTTTTTCTCAGTGGGATAAATTTTAGTTTACATAAGAAAAGAAAAACGTTTTAAAATCAGTTGATTGTTATGCCTCGGTCCGTGAACTTTGCTAAAGTTAGCTCTCACAAAGGAGTGACGTTGATAGAATTTTAAGTCAAAGATAACGACGCAAGTTTGTCCAAAGCCGGGAAATTTAGGAGCTTTGCAGCTAAGGAAAAGACCTTGGCATATTTCAAGCGTGTCCCAATTTTGTATTTGAACACTGCACGTTAAAGGTGATTTTTTTGAAAAAAAAAAAGCAGCAACTTTACTCTTATTTATAGCTATTAAAAATACTGTTGAATATGTGCATTTGGATTGTAGGATTCCGTACACAGCAGACTCGAAAGTTTGAACCACCATATACAGCACATTTAACAGAACCATAGGAAAGAGCTCAGTAGTTCTGTACACTTCAGTATTTTATCCATAGGCACTTAAGTTCGGACTAAAGTACGTCTTTCTCGGACTGGAAGGGAATTCTCTGGATCCGGCATTTGAACGAAATACAGTGCAGGATTCGGGAAAATGTTGGGTTACGGGATTTGATCCCTACGCGGGAAACGTGATTCGCCTAAATTTTGGTACGGGATGCGGTGTTGGGGTAGAAAATGGTATCCGGGATCGAGAATGACAGAAGTTCGAGAAGTAGGATTGCGGCGTTAGGACCCTCCTTCCACATCCCGTTCTTTGAAACGTCTTAAAAACGTTATTCATGTGAATTCAATGAAGTGTCTTACCATTTATCATGTACCTATTTTTCAGGTTCATATCAATCTCCTGCTGTTTGAGTCCCGTCTCCAAGCTGAACTTCTGTATGCGTTAAGGGCAATCATGAAGTATATGACTTGATAGTTACTTAGTATTAATTTATGACCAGATAAATTAACTTTAACCAAAGAGTAATCCCTAAATATATTTATTGTAAGTAAAGCTTGGAGGTTTATTTCACCCTTTTCCTTGTGTGAGGACAAATGCTTCAGTGCCCCCGCGAGACACAGAGGCCAACTGTTCCTTGGGGTGCGTCTTGTTTGGAAAATCCAAACGCATTCTTGAATTTTAAAAAGAAACGGATTTTGGGTTTCTTTTTAAGGATCCTAAAATAGATTTTGAATGTAAGGAATACACATTCCGAATAGATTCGCCAGATCAAGTCTTGATTTTGAGGATTCTTGATGATTATGAATCGTGCAATGGTCTGTGCTCTTACGGACCTCAGAAATGACATCCAGATGTTCAAATTTCAAGAGAACCTCGAACCTTCGGAGATAAAACAAATAAAATCGATCGTTCCATCCATAACGGTTCTCAGTAGGTTTTCGGGATCCGGGATTTGCTTTATTTGAACTCAGATTCGGGACTTTAAAGCAAAATGCGGGCGAGCGTTGGGATGCGGAATACCGTAAATAACCGTCGGGATTACGGGGTTCGAAGCGATAATTTCGGTCGGGATGAAGGGATTGAAGAACCCTAGTGAGGCCCTCATGAGTCCGGTTCAAAAAATCGCCGAAATATTCCATAAAGATGAGCCGCGTAGTGAAATAAAATTATTTCGAGTTAACGCTGGCTTTATTCGCTCTTTTCTTAGCAAAGAAACGCTTCGGATCAGGTACCCAACACGGGTTTATTTAAGATCCAAAGGAACAACCGTCGGCAGGGATCATTTGGATCAATGATATGGTTTTGGATTTTGGTAAAGAAAAGAAATATCCGTTTTCAGATTACTGTAAAAAAAAACTAATTCGGAGTTGGATTTTACTCAAAAACGCACCCCTAAGTTTTCAATGGGATGATCCGCCATCTTATAAGCGCGTACTGATTTCTCTTACTTAAAATAACAAAAACCGTTTTTCACGGCTTTCGAGCTGGATCAGTTTAAGTTTCCGGGAAACTGTCCACCTTCCCCTCCCTTAAGCCAACATTAACACTTAGCTCTTACTTAGGGCAAAATGTTGGCGTAGGGGAGGGGTAGGTGGGCAGTTTCCCAGAAACCAAAACTGCGAGCTTTAATCTGACCGAGACAAATGGTGAAAAATTGTCCACAGAGAGTCGAAAGCTAGATCAACCTTTTTCTTAAGCAATATGGTGAACTTTCCATTGGTTTGCTGGTGTATTCATGGAGACAACTGCAGAGGTGTAGTTTTATAAGTCACGAATCCAAAACGAGTGACTTCTCGGCTTCTCGCCGAAGGCGAGCGACTTGGTTTACAGGCTATTCAAGTGTCCTCTCAACATCTCGGGTATGCTTCTCACACTCGTAAACCAATCGAAAGTTTGTTCAGTTGCTTCCGTTAAAAGATTTTACATGATGGCAAAGTTTTTCTGTTTTCTTATGTCTTTGGCAATGTAATAAGCCATGGGTTTTTGAGGGATCAGAACCAATGTAACAATTAACAACGGATAAGTTTTTTGACTCGGAAAGTGATGCTTAACACCATTTACCTGAAACTGGATTAACTAGAGGATTGCAAGAAAGATAAAAATATCAATCTTCTGCTGTTTAAAGTAAATTACACGAGGGTCATATGCCTTAGTTAAATGCCCCAGGAGTTTGTGCCATAATTTAACTTTTGGCGCTGTTTGCAGTAAACAGCGCTTAAGAATTAATGTGTAAATAGCCGCTACATGTGAGGTAATTCAAGCCAGTCTTGGATTCTGGATACCACGCTGTGGATTTCGGATTCCGAATTGTTGGTACCGGATTTTGGATTCCTTGTCAGTGGAATTTGGATTTCGGATTCCTAACAACAAATATTTTTTTCCGGATTACCTTAGATGTGACGAAATTAGACTGTTGAGCAGTTTGAAATCGGTTTTATTTGCGGTTTTGTCACGTAGTCGTGCACTAACTGTGTTGTATATAAAAAGTGAAACCCGTTTGAGCTCCGTTGAAGCATTGACTGTATGAGGTAAAGGGTCGGTGTTTAAACCCGTAAAGTTTTATGAGTTAGGCTAGGAAAATTACTACTCATTGTTTATTTTTTAAACTTTGCCTCAAAGAAACTATTTGTAATTCTTGAGCAGTATTTTGTTTTAACAATAAAGAATTACGGCTATAGAGGATAAGCTGATTCTTTGGTTGTTCGAGTGTTTACCTTACCTTACCTCAAGTAGTTTTAAAGCTTATTGAAGCTATGTTCTCCTGCGTATAGGTGTAACCGTTCTCACGGCACCACGCTAATTAACGGTACGAAAATTAACTTGAGACGCTTAGCCTTTCAAAAATTTGAACGATAGAATTGAGATCAAACTTTTAGCTGCTATGGTCGAAAATTGGACCGGCGTGATGTGAACATCGTGACCATCTAAACTTTTGTGCGGCTAAGGCGTGGTTGCTTGATATTGATGTGTGGCAACTCGGCTAAGAGACGCCGTTTTGGATATGCATCAGTAGGGCCTATGTGGTAAAACCGCTAAAAAAAAAAATTAATCAGCTTTTTTTATGAGTTCCGTGTAAACAGAGTGAAAATATTGCACAGTTCCCTGTAAAGGAAATGTCTGGTCAAATTTCTCAATTTATTTGGTACCGTGTGAGCGTCTGAGCCTGAGTTGGTAGGGTCGCTATCTCCGAGTTTAAAAACCCTCGCTTTCAAAATGAGTCCAAACAAGTCTTATTTGCATTAGGTTAAAAGAAAAAACGCTTTACGCAATCACCCTCGCCTTAAATTCGTGTCTTGAAGTATTTAGGAAATAGAGTATCCATGATCTTTATATAAAAAAAATACAACTGGTGTGTGAACCATCTCTTTTGTCCGCAGTCGATAGTACTATTTACAGTGGGCGCTTTCCATTCTCTTAGAAATTCCGCAAATTATGTTTGGGGTGTGAATGGAACGCTTATACAATTTCGGGTTTTCTACAGGAAAATTTCCGGGAAGAAGTGGAACTTTGAATAGTTACAAAGGTGTCCCGTTTTCCCTTTGGAAATTTTATTTACACTGTAAATGGAAAAGATCTGTTTTAGCCTTGAAATTAGGGCCGTTACGGTGAGTAAAATACTGTGATTTGACTGTCCTAATTAGGGCCAGTACAGTCCAAATACCTAGGGCTGATTTGGACCCAAGGGGGCGGGAACAACCTTTGATGGTACTGTTTTGGCTTAAATTATGATTAAATGGTTGCAGGAAGGGTTGAATGAGACTTTGGCCTGCCGGCTGAATTGACACTTTCGGGCTGAAACAGATCTTTTATATTTTCAGTGTACTGCGAGTTTTGTCGAGGATTCACCAGTTCTAGGCTATTCATGGCGACATCTGTGACGCTATCTATAATTTTGGCCAAAAAGGGAAACGAACTAATTTCAAATGGAACACGTTCATCAACCGATTGACCTTTCCGTGGAAGTTTCCAAAACTTGGAAAACGGAAAACGCTCAGTAAGAAGTTAGTTCGCGAATAAACGAATTTCCACGCGGAACGTCCCAACTGGGAAAACGGGACTACCTGTTCAGAATTTCCGTTAATTTGTCCCCGGAAATTTTCCAGTGGGACGAACCAAAAAAACGTTTAGCATTTGCATCCCAACAGGAATTTCCGAGAATTTGTGGTAAATGGTAAACAACCGCAAAGAACTATCATTTTAAGTGATAAACAATGTTTTAAACCGTAATGAAAACGGTTTTCGTTGAAGGCATTTGTTAAGGAAAACGATAACCCGTGTGCGCGCGATATAACTTCTTCCTCTCGCGGCCAAAACGCCTGCCACGAAATTCGGACGAAATCGAAATCACTCTCTCACACAGTCAAACTACTCTTTTCGCACGAAAGGTGGCTGTATTGGCAGGCTACTCAAAAACGCTACAAAAAAATGTCTGTTCTGCATATGCTAATTTTATTCATGTATTCAGGAAAATGAAAAGACATTTTTTAACGACAATGCATAAACGACGTATATTTCAACATCAACGCTACCGCGTGTAAAAACTTACAAGGTATGGGTGTTATTAGAATACTTTTGTCTCTCGTCTCTCTCGTTTTTAAGGCACTAGACTCCGTTGGAATTCTATGGGATGCTCGGCTTCGGTTATCAGAATTTATCTACGGAAAGCATGGAGTTACAGTCCGTGGGCCGACAAAGCGTATTTTAAAATTACCAGCGTGTGTTATTGCCGAATACATAAAGAAACGAAAATTAACATGCGTCGAAGTTATTGAGGCTTTCAGAGACAGAATTCTCGAAGTCAACCCGATTCTCAACGCTGTTGTTGGAGACAGATTCGACGACGCTTCGGAAGAAGCCCAGCACATCGATCAAGTTCTGGATTCGAGCGATATAAACTTAAATCAAGAAAAATCTGATTTGTTGAGTAAGCCTTTACTAGGAGTTCCCATTACTGTGAAAGAATCAATCGCTTGTGAGGGATTCACTAACTCGGCTGGACTTGTGGATAGGAAAGATAAGATTGCCTCTGAGGATGCAGCCGTTGTTAAAAACCTTCGTGTTGCCGGCGCCATTCCGATCGCCGTCACGAACTGTAGCGAATTGTGCATGTGGTGGGAGACGACAAACAACGTATATGGACGGACAAACAACCCTTATGAAACATCCAAGATAGCTGGTGGGAGTTCAGGTGGCGAGGGCGCGATTATTTCTGCTGCAGGTTCGGTTTGTGGCATTGGATCGGATGTAGGTAAGTAACCATTAATATTCTAAACTTGGACAATGGTTTGTGTTTATCCTCTGAAAGTCATTCAATACAATAGTTATTATATGGCGGCGAGTTAAACTCCATTTGCACGCGCTAAAAAATCGGCACGTCGCGCCAAATTTTTGGCACTGTGCTGACGATTTTATGGCATCGCACTTCCAATTTTCAGGGGCACCCAACGAGAGGATAGTTCAAAACCACATAAACATAGCATTGTTGAACGTACTTTAGTATTTAAACGGTAGATAAAGGCTTATTTTTATCCCCTAAAAATTGTTCATCTGTTCGGATTTCCTAGCTGAAAGTATAGTGATCCGAAAATTATAGGGATCAAAATTTACCTTTTCGAAAATTTCAGCCAGAAAAAAGGCTCCCGAAAATTCTAGGTGACCTTTTAAGGGTAAAAATCCGTTAAAAATGGGCAATTATACGATTTTTTTGAAGTTCGAAAATCCTAGGAGAGGCAGGCAAGCAAGAAATTTGTCAGAAAATGATCCGAAAATTCTAGACCTCAAATCGTCTTCCGAACAGATAATTTTCCGAAAATTGTCGTTGGGTGCCCCTGAATTTTCGACGTGTAAACGTATCGGTCCCAAATGTAACGTGGCACCAGAGCTCAAAATTTTAGGAGTGCCGAGACCGCCTCCGGGAGGTAGTCTCGGCACGGGTAAACGAGGCACGGTGCCAAAAATTTGGCGTGCCGCGCTGATTTTTTAGCGCGTGTACTGAAATGGGGTTTTTAAGTTAGGTAATTTCACTATGATGTCCTACCTACATGAATTAACTAACCTTATGCATTAACTATAACTCGCCCATATTTGATTACATTTTTTGTCTATTTTCAATGTTTTAATGAAAATGCCGCTTCCTGCACTGTATATTCAGCTGTATATTGACTGCTGTAAGAGGCTTGCATTGAGAGTGCCGGGTCCAGACCGGAGGGGAGGGGGGGTGGGGGTGTCATCGTACCTTGTAACATCACCTACACGGGGCTGTTAGTAACTACGATTTTCTGCCCAACGCAGCGTTGCATTGTTGGAACAATGTTGCAACCATTCGAAACAATGTCGCAATAATGTTGTAATTCCGTGTTGCGCGTCATTGCGAATCGTCCAGTTTAATATCACCTTTTATATGAAGAGTCCCACGGGAGTAAAGGTGATGCCTGTTACACGGGAAGATTCGTAACGACGATTTTTTAGTGCAACATAGCATAACAACACGGTTGCGACATTGTTTTGACTGGTCGCAACATTGACCAACATTGTTCCAACGCAACACACAACAACGCTTGAAATCGTCGTTGCGAATCGTCGTGTAACATCACCTTAAAGGTAATGTTACACGGGACGATTCGCAACGACGATTTTAGCGCAACATATCGTTGCAACATTGTTCCCACCTTGTTTCGAATGGTTGCAACACTACCAATATTGCAACGCTGTGTTGCGCTAAAACTCGTCGTTCCGAATCGTGCCGTTTAATATCACCAGTATCACCTAAATGCAGTCTTTCTGTTCATATAAAGAGCATTTTCACTCACGTGGCCAACAGCTATGCAACCTTATTGGGCCAAAAAATGTTACATAAGGAAAAGGTTTAGCTCCAAACTTACTCCAACAGGAATGGTTTGGGACACCAACATGATCAGGGGCACCCAACGACTGTTTTCTGTGAAATATCTGTTCGGAGAAGCAAAAATTGCCTAGAATTTTCTATAGCTTGAGGAAAACTAAAAATTTCTAGATGACCGTTCCATTCATGTGCAATTTCAAAGCTTAATTAATAAATTCCCTACGATTTTCTGAAGTTTAATTTTTCCCATTTCACTCCCGAGGTTAGCCCAATTTTCGTAGAGAAAGGAAACCTAAAATTTTCGAAATCGAAAATGCAATGTAGAGAGGAATCAGAAAATTATCACTTTCGTAAAACTCTAAATTGCAGCTAAAATTTTCGGGAAAATAATACTGAAGCCCTTGGTTCCAAAAGACTCAAGTTGCCCTAGGTTGACCGAACAGATATAAATTTTTTAGCGCCACTTAAAATACATTTTTAGAGATCTAAAAGTACTCGGGATAGTCTAAAAAGTGTTTTTAAAGCATTTAGGAGGAAACTGTCGTTGGGTGCCCCTGCATGATCGCCATTTCATCGTTTTAACCGCGGCAGGATTAGCGAAGTCGGTAGAGCGCTTGACTGTCGAGCGTGAGGTCGCGGGTTCGATTCCCAGGGTCTGACCAATACTCAGGGTCTTTAAATAACTGAGAAATGAAGGTATTGCCTTTGCCCTGCAAACGGCTAGGCCGTCGTGTGATTTGAATGACACGGCGTAAAATGGAACTTGGGTACGGTCATCAAGAATTAAACTCCAGGCAAATTCACCAACAGTTGAGTCGAAATCATTGAGTTTGAAATCATCCAGTAGTCACGTCGCTATCAATATTAGGGTGATTTAGCAGCAGAACGGGAACATCAGTTGACGACGGCAAATCAAACAACTGGCTTGACCAATGGCAGAGCGACAAATTGGACACCGGAAGTCGAGTTCAGTCGTTTTCGCGCGCTTTCCCGTCGTCAAATGACGTTCGTGTTCTGTTGCTAAATCAGCCTAATATTGCTCTGGAGAACGCATACAACAATAAGGAATAAAAATTACCAAAGAATGCAGATTTGAACCCATATGTATCGTTATTTTAGACAGTGTTACGAAATTGCTTCTTGCCTTTTCTTACAGGTGGTAGTGTCCGTATGCCGGCGTTTTTCAATGGAATATTTGGACATAAACCCAGTCCCTCTGTAGTTCCTAATCAGGGCCACTTTCCTCAAGGCTCAAGTGAGGCCTTTGATGAGTATCTGATCATGGGTCCTCTCTGCAGGTACGCTGATGATCTAATCCCGATGCTGAAGGCTATGGCAGGCCCAACAGCTTATGAGCTTAAATTGGACGAGGAGGTAGATCTATCCGCTATTAAAGTTTACACCATAAGCGATGGAGAGTACCCTTTTTTAACTTCACCTGTGGACACCGACCTGCTGATGGCCCAGGAACAGGTTTGTTCCTTTTTGCAGGAACGATTTGGGGCGACAGTTGAAGACGCTCATATGACGCTTTTCCGATACTCACCCCTTATATGGTCAGCTATGATCCTCTCGGCAGAGAGTAACAAAATCACATCACAATTTTTGCAGAGGGAAAGCGGCTCAGTGTCCATGAACCCGTTTGTTGAGATTTTCAAGTATCTTCTGGGATATTCGAAGTATCATTACGTCACACTTGCAGTGGCAGGCATCGAGCACCTCAGAAATCCTTTACCCCACTGTCTGCCTGATGTGTCCTCGAGATTTGTGCAGATGGGCTTGAAACTGCGAGAGCAAATTCAAGCTCTCCTTGGAAGTAATGGCATTTTGCTTTTTCCGTCGCACCCCAACACAGCTCTTTCACATAACAGGCCGTTTCTAGCGCCGTTGAACTTTAGTTACACGTCGATCTTCAACGTACTCCACCTTCCTGTCACGCAGTGCCCTATGGGTCTTGATAAAAATGGTCTTCCGCTGGGTATTCAGATTGCTGCCGCAAGAAATAATGACCGGCTATCAATCGCAGTCGCTAAGCAACTTGAACATCAGTTTGGTGGATGGAGAGACTGGTACCCTGGGAAAACTTCGGAAGACAAGAAAAATGAGTAAAATTCTTAAAGTTTACATAGCAGGCCTTCTACACTGCGAGCAGAGGTTTCTTTCTTGCATATGGCTTTTAGCATTAACGAAGTCGTTCGCGTAGCTTGTCAGTCGCGTAGCTGGTTTAATTTATGCGACCAACAAGCCACGCAAACGACTTCGTTAACGCTAAAAACCATGCAAGAGAGAAACCTCTGCTCGCAGGGCCTTCCAAGTCCTTCAAGCTTAGTCGATAAAATGGCAGACAACCACATTTTTCCATCATGTATACCCTGTGTACCGAAAAAACACCTGAAGTGCATTTCTCAAAACTCCAGAAGAGTTTTCCGGCTCGGAAAGTGGTTTTCCTCACCCGTTTCTTGACGAATTTTTGGAGTTTTGGCGCAAAATAGCCCAACATACCTCTAGATCTTGTTAAGTTCAACGATTTTTTTTAGACCTTGCAGACTGACCCATTTACTATTATGAATGCCTTAAATGTAATCGTACAAAGGAGACATTTAGCTTCCTACAAGGTTGTTATATTAGGCTGAGTATCAGGCTTAAATCTCCTCTCCCTTACCCCCTTAGGATAGGAAGGCCTGTCGTACTTAGGCTACTGTCATATATTCCGGCATTAACTATGTAACTGACTTCTTTTCAAAATTTGAGCGGAGAGAGCAGTATTGAAGAAACTCCTAAATGTCTTCAAATGAAGTTGAGTTACGAAACGAATGCACGCGATCACTAGTGCACATGTTTAAAACTTAACTCTTGACGTTCACATCACATTTTTCAGGGGCGTAGCTAGCTTTTCGACTAGTTGTAGATAGGCCTGGCTGACTTTCATTTCCACACACCTGGCTGTATATGGCTAGTACGCACTAACTTCACGAACTTTTTGCCGGAGCTCTTAAGCGTTTTAGCTCACCCCAACAACGCATAATTTATTACAAGTGATAGAGTGATCAAACCAATAATTTGTAGGCCCAGGCCTACAAGTCTTTGGGATGGCTACGCCCCTGTTTTTAGAGTATATCCACAGCTTGTTGCTTGTTGTCGCTGTTTTGACATCTTCGCGAGTTTAATATTTTTGACTTTACTCTTTTTATTGTTGTTGAAATTCCATCTTTTAACCTTTTCTCTTTTTAAATTGTACCTTTTGATTGTTTAAGTCTATTGTAGTAGCTACACAAAACGCAAAGCCTGCACTTTGAAGAGCGTTTTCGAAAAAGTTCTGTTTTAGGTAGAGAATAAAGATGTAGTTTGAAATTTATTCGACATAGAATGGACTTTGGCGAAGCGATTCCACTACAATATTCAGATTTTTGTTACGGGTTTCTCAAAACCTACCCCATCCTTTTTGAATTTATAAATTAATATATTTTTTTAATATTGTTATTACACATTGTAAATATAGTACAATGTATTTCTAATTACGTCTTGGAATTCTAATTCCCGGCACAGGGTGTATACTGAGTTATGTCATTTTTAGATCTTACTTTTATTGTTTCTTTCAGAATTTAAATTAAACCGGCAGATTGGTGTAAAGCTCTGTTTTCTTGAATCTCTGATTTGAGTTAACGTTCACTTTCTCCCTTCGGAATTATGGCTAATTTTTGCAAGGCAAAAATTTTAATCTATTGATCATTCAACCGATTGTTTGGCCCGAAATCAGTGTTACAGGCAAATGTAAGTAACAAAATCAGTGTTCTTTCTGCAACGAAGGATGCAACTGCAACGCTACAATTGTCACATTCACCAGGGACCTGGGGCCCACAGGAAGTTACCCAGGACTCTTTTCACAGGACTACAAGCCTACAAAGCCTGGCGCATAACTACTGAGCTCAGTTACCCAAGATGGCGTCTTCGTGTTGTTTTCCCGGGCCTGGTTGTTGCTATTAAATTGTTTGAGTTTTTATAGTGTCGGACAATGAATTATGCTTTCTTAAAGTTTCCTGATGTAAATAGGTGGCAAATAGGTTTGCCATTTACTCGTTGTTGCTACGGTTATTGAGGTTATTTGCCAAAGTAAAAAGTAGAAGCACAATTTCTTCACTTTTTGCTTTAACGAGCATAATTTACAAAAACTAGCATACTAAGGAGCATAATTTTAGAAATGACTAGCACTGGTAGTAGCATATTATTCTACTTTTGCGAGCGCATTCTATCCTAATCAATAGTTCCCTAATTATATTTGACGCTAAACATTGTCAGGCACATACCTTCATGGCCTTGAAATCACAGCCGATTTCATGTAATAAGCAAAGTGAAAAAAGGCCGAAAAAAGGCTCAAAAGCAATACCCTTTACAAGCGGCACATACCTATATATCTTATATAGTACCCCCAGAGGGAGAAAGGAAGCTATCCCATCCTTTTTATTTCCGTATTTCGTATGCTTTTGCCATGCAGTATACAAGCGATGACCAAAACAAAAACTTCGAATGCGGGTAGCGCCTTGATTCAAACCGCAACTGGTCTGTTCCAGTCGCATTGAGCTTGTTGAAAGAAGTTTTACATATATAAATTGCAAATTCATGTTATGCTGCGCGCAAGATACCTTCTTGGTCACTTATTTCTGTTAAAACGTAATGCAGCTTTCCAGTGAATACTGAAACAAACTGAAGACTCCCACACCGCAAGGATTCTATTCACGATATTTTCGGCATGTCTTGTGTCTGGAAACTGATCCTCCCCGGAAAAATATTGAAAAAACTTCAAGATTATCCAGTACTGCCAAGGTCGGCGGGTGTGAAAAAAGACTATATATTGGCATCTTCCCGATTTGCGGTGATGTTTTTCCGTTGCATCCTGGGCAGATCATGGGAAAGTCTGTGCGGTATTATAAATGTGGGAAAGAAAACTGAGCTGAGTGGAAATTGAGATAGAAGCTTTTATAGATTTTCTACCTTTTTTTCCTTGCCGGTTTTTGATTCTGCCCGTTTCATCTGTTCCCAGTTAGAGCCTGTCCGACCACCCCTTACCCTTTTTTTTTATTTATTTAAAAACTCCTTTTCAAGTTCTGTCATTTTAGTCTGAAGTTAGCTGTATATTTCAAACGTTTCAGCGGATTAACAGTGGTCCGGGACAGGGTGGGAAAAAGAATCACATAATGGTCTCAGAACCCATGCCGCACAGTCATCCCACCCGAATTTTCCAGGAGTACGGTCCCCTTGTTTGACTGCCTTTACAACCACTTGATAGGCAGTGTTCGAATGAGGCACATTGCAAAAGGATGGAGTAACTTGTTCCAGGCGCGGATCTAGGATCAATACTGACCGACTTTCTGAACGAGCGACGAAGGCGCAAGGTTGTAAAGGGGTGCGGGGACATGCTCCCCCAGGAAATTTCCTGGGTTTCTGAGTATTCTGACAGGATATTGTCAAATTCCATTTTCCTCGGATAAAGCCTTGCAAATCGGCTGATTATTTCATCTCTCGATTTCAACTTGGAGAATTTTTTTATATATTAAAAATATGTATGAAAACTCTTACTGATTTCGGTAAAACGACGGAAACCGGAGTGGATCAGCGGCTGTGTTGAAGGGAAAGGGCTTAGAACAGCGATTTATAAGCGCTATATATATTCCATTAAGGCAACCTTATCGCCTGCAGATCCATTTGAAAACACTGAGGCGATCCGTTTATCTAAAAGCTAATTGGCAGCGTTAAATGATACCTTGGTTTGTACTTTCCGGTGTACTTTTAACTGAGATGTTTGAACATTTCAGCCAGTTGCCTGCTGCGTTTCTATTCCGTTATGGTTGAATATAGGAAGTTTAAAAAACGAGCACCAGCTGTGTACTCGATTCGCGAAATTTAATTACCTCGAAAAAAGGCGATTCGTCAAAATCGCAAAATTTAAGGTCATCTAAGTCCCGCGAAATATTTCTATTCCAAATTCGCAAAATTAAAGTCGCGCGAAAATAAGTGATGATTAGGTGTTGTGTGGACTTCTTTGTTTTGTTTGATTAACGTCACTCGTGAAGTTTGCAGGCAGAGGCGAGAAAATCCGCGAAGTATTTTGCACATTTGGGGTGCAATTTTTTAGAACTTCCGCTCTTGCTGATCGCTGATCGGCCCTTTTCCAAAACGTAAAAAAACCTTATGCTTTTGTATTCTGTATAGCAGAGTCCTCTTGCCGTGAGACGAGCTTAGATATTGTTTCTCCGGCCATCGGAGGTTCAAATAGTGTTTTCAAGGCGCCCGAAATGTGAAACGAAGCGTTGAAGAGTTCCTGATTCCTTGATGAGGAGCCACTTTGTTGCTATGACGTCATTTGGTTTTCCACGTGACCCAACAGCGACCCGGCAAAAAATAAAGTCGCTAGCTGTGGGTCGGTGGTACTGAAGAAGGCGATAGTATACCAACAATTGTTCGCAAAGTTTCAAGACTTGCAGAACGTCATGGACGGTGGAAAGAAAGTTTGGGTCCCTGACAACGAACATGGCTTTCGTTTGGGAGAAATTGTCGATCTTGGATCGGACACGATCACTGTTGAAGTCGATGGTTCAAAGGGAAAGGTCTGATGAGATTAATTTCGTTAGTTAAGACATTTTTCCCGTTTATAAAAATGTAGATAGATAAGCTTAAATTTTTTTTTTGCAATCTTATTGTAGGTCGTCACGGCTTCCTATGATAGAGTTTTCCCGTCAGAAAAGGATAATTCGCGAGATTTTGAAGATAATTGTAAGTTGCCAAAGAACGCTAGGTTGCTTGCATACGGGGGTGAAGCTTGTATTAAGCTTAATTCCACGAAAAAAGTTAAGCGTGGCATTAAATTCCAAATAATTTTTCTGGCTTTAGTTTGAATGCCAGTACTTATTTTGATCTGATATTTCGATATTTTGTTATTGTTTTTGGGTATTGGAACCTGGCAGATGTTTTGGCGTTGTTTGAAGCTACGAGATAATCGAGTTTGTCTTTAGCAGACGATTGTGTAACTTAATGAAAAACTTAATTTTTGTTGTACTAGCGTTTGACACCGCATTTTTTTTCCAATTGCTAAGTTGCTACATGTATGTTCGAAATTGAGTGGTTTCATTACATGTAGAGGGATCGGAATGTTGCAGCTTTAGAAAATTAATAATTAAATTGATTGGTTGCACCTCTGATTGAGGTGTGAGATTTTGAATGGGTTATGCATACTTTTTTTTTCAAAACGAGGGCCTATTTTCAACCGAACTGTAATATTTCCTAACAACAGTTATCATAAATTTAACAGATAAATGATCTTGCCGTCTCCCTTTGGCTTACATCTCAAAAGATTGAGCCTCAGTTAATTTTTGTTGTTGTAGAATTGAGTGAATAAGTGAAGAACAAAGAATTTGATTATGTACTTATTGACTAAGTGGGAGGTTTGAACAGGAAATTAGTTGGCTTGTGGATTCAAACATTTTTAAGGAGTCTTGGGAAGTTGAAAGGCTGGGTTGAGAATTGTGAGCTAGAGCAATGAGAACTTTGATGTGCCAGACGTAACGAAAGGCAACCTGAAGTTTGGTTTTTCGCTTTCAGATGGAACGCTTCCATCTAACCCAACTTTTGTTTTTACTCCTGTATATCTGCCAAGTGTTATGCCTAAGGTGTGATTGTCATGCCTCTGGATTGAAAACTTCGATCTCATGCCTGCTTACGCCCGTGTTCCAGTTTCTTATTCTGTTAAAAATGTTTGAGCTGTTACAGCAATGACTGTCTTATTTTGAAACATATATTAATATTATTATTTAAACAAACTGGAACTAATGAGAAAAGAAAAGTCCATGTTTAAAAATCAAAACTGGATTTTTATTTTTTTATCAGACTGATAATAAGAAGAAAAGGCTGATTTGAATGGACCGTGTGTGTTCGCCTCGGTTGTAGTTTCTTCCTGGCTACGGCCCTCTCCAAATTCTCTTATTTTAGTAGGGGGAGGTCGTGTTCCTTCGTGTTCTCGCGCTCGTGTTAGCCAGAACTCTTCACAGCATCTTCAGAATGTCCTTGGAAGTCTTCGGAACGTCTTCAGTTATTAACAGACGCCTACAAAAAATCCTGAAAGTCTCAGATAAAAATGTCATGCCTATAAATTAAAAAGTTGGCAGGTATACTCCTGTAGCATGAGTTATCAAGTCAGACTATGGAGAGGGAGAAACAATGAACTTCTAGTTGTTGTTTTGAAGTTCGGGAAAACATCAACGTTCTCTCTGCTAAAGCTCACAATTTAACCCTTTTTGGCTTTTAAGGATCTTTTTGATTCAGCTTAGCTGGTCCTCCAGCAGTGTGTTCGTTGCCTGAGTCACGCGTTGCCAAATTTTCTCGCCATGTATAGAATCATCAGATCATTATACGTTTCTGGAAAACTGCCCCCTACCCCTCCCCCAAGCCAACATTAAGACTTTCTTCTCACTTAGGGCAAAATGTTGTCTTAGGGGAGGGGTAGGTGGACATTTTCCTAGAAACATACATGTATAATGATCCAATTCATCTTAACCAATCAAAGCAGTGTACATAGTACAAAATCTAGTAACAGTGAACAGAGTTTAACAGGTTCTGCTTCTCTTTTTGCTGTGTTGGTCCATTCATGAAAAGGTACGACTTTACTCTTTACTTACTTTACTTACCCTCTTTACGTACTCTTTTATAATCTGCAGGTTCATTGATGTTTCTAAATGAAGCAACTTTATTACACAACTTGAAAATCAGATACCAAAAGGATAAAATATATGTAAGTTTGAAATTAAATGTTTAAGTGACATTTCAGGATGGTTTCATCTAAAAAAAAAAGTGAGAGAGAAAAAGACAAGAAACAGTTACATTTATTACATATCTACATAATGGGGTTGTTCATAATTGAAGGAATTCTCTTCACATGCAGACCTCTTTCTTTTTCCTTTAACAAACAAATTTTGCTTATGGCCAGCTGCTATTAACCTGTGCCACAGAACTAAACCTCTGGTTAAGTCCGTGTGAGCCAGTGCCTTAATCCTTGTTCTGGGCTCCCACCTGTTTACCGGGATTTGATTACGCACCTTGATTGGCCTGTTAAATCCTGGTTTTCACCAGCGCACAAGCATAAGCGCAAGCACATGTGCAAGCAACTGAAAGCTGGGTCGATATAAATATAAGCATAACAAGTTCGGTCTTCTTGTGCTTGTGCTTATGCTTATGCCTTAGCTTTGACCAGTGAAAAATGGGGTTGGCGTAAGCACAAGCAGAAGCACTAGGCCGTACCCCAATCAAAGGCCATTCTAATCCAGACCTCATATGAACATATCAAAAGCAATATGGCAGATGAAGGGTCTGCCCTCTTGTTTTCCTTCAGGTTAAGGAGAGCTGGTAACGAGAATTGAGTTAAATATGGCATTTTGCACAAGCTGTGTCCTTATGCTTATAAATGCTTATGCGCTAGTGAAAAACAGGCTTAAGAAAACCATTGTCAATTTTTTAGTCAGGCTGAAGGGAAATTCAAAATGCACTTCTGGTACATATAATTCATTGAGTTCTTGCCCCATTGTTCTTGCCAGCACTGGCAGCTCTCCTCCACCAAAATTTTCCACAAACTTGCATCTTTAGCTTGCAGGCTACAGTGATTTTGTTACCTCTGCGTCCTGCATCCCTGACGCGTAAAAATCCTTAAAGACAGAAAATAATTCATGGCATGCATCCTGTAGGATGCAAAGATCGATCGCTTGAGCCTTGTGTTTTTGTAGAAATGTCCTGTTCATGTAATTTTTGTCAGTGGCAGCTAAATGTATTTAATGGTTGTTGTTTAACAATGCATATTTTTTTTAGCCTTTGTTGTGCTTTAAAATAGAAGGACTATATTTTAACAGTATACTGTAGTAAAGGGTTTTGGGTCTGTCTTCATATTCTTGAACTGTCTGGTTACATAAAGGCCCAAGCATTTTCAATTTCGGATTTGTGGTTTTGACTGGGACTCATTGGTTCTAGACTGGGGCGCATGATTTTTCACAAAATGAGTCTGAGGACCCACCACTTAACTATTTGTAACAAAATCACTGAGGCTATCAGTACCTTGGCAGTGGGTCCCACCGTAATAAGCAGTTTTATTTTTGTAATGTTCAGACTTATGTTGCCAACATTTTGCTTGCTGTCAACCCGTATCATGAGGTCAAAGATCTCTACTCCAAGGAGAGAATCAGACAGTATCATGGAAAGTCTTTGGGTGTGTTGCCTCCACACGTGTTTGCTATTGGTAAGAACTATGTGAAACTTTTCTAGAAAATGAAGTGTTATTTTGGTTAGATTCTGATAGATGTGTCTATTGATGTATTTGATTTATACTGAATCAAGATGTCTTGGATTTCAGCTGACAAAGCATACAGAGATATGAGGGCTTACAAACAGAGTCAGTCTGTGATTGTCAGTGGTGTGTAATTTTTTTGTTTTTAATTAATGTACATTCTAGGTTTGTTGTTTAATAGTGTTACTGAAACTGTCACCTATAAACCCCCCCACCCAGGTAAATCTACCTGTAAATGAAAGAATACATTCGAGTAATTTATAAGCCCCCATAATATTAGCATCTTAGTTCTTGGTCTTATTGAAATGGATTTGATTTATTATGATGTTTTGAAGTGTCATCAAAAACCAGTAAATGCAACACAATAAGCACTTCTATCTATAGTTTATTTCAAAGCACTTTTTCTATTCTGGTTATAAGGCTCCTTGGATATTGGCGCCTCTGTTAAGCACTCCAGCACTCCTAAAACCTCTTATGACAATGTGTAAGCCTAGGGTTATAAGCATTTATGGTAATTAATTATTACGGGACTCAACATTCAGAAAAACAAAACAAAACAGAAAAACTTTGGACCATCTGGCCCCTTACTAAAAGATGGTAAGCTGGAATTAAAGGGAGCCCAGTGCTCTGAAATCCTGTGAAATCCAAGGTTCGCAGCATGTGATAATTCTATGTAAACACTAATATTCCCTAGTCGCCCAAGAGAAAACTTAATGCACCACCTAGTGCTGCTATAACAGAACCCTTGAACTGGTGATATTTAGTGGGATTACTGCTCCATTGTTTATCATCAAAGAGTTATTTTTTGCTGGTTTGGGCTCCCCTCATTTGGTGGGAATGTATTCAACCCATTTTGTTGTTTGTTTTCAGGTGAAAGTGGTGCTGGAAAAACAGAGTCAACAAAGTATATTCTAAGGTATGTGAATGTGAAATTTTGACACTACTTTTAATTTGGATTAATATCATTTTTGCTTACAGACGTAATCTTTGTGTTGTTGCAGATATTTGACAGAATCATGGGGATCAGGTGACCAAGGCCGCATTGAGCAGAGAATTCTTGAAGGTGAACTTAAAAATGCACTAAATGTTTTAATACTACTACTACTATACTGTTACAGTGACTACAACTGCAATGTATACCTCAGATATAGGTAAGGTAAATAGGTAACCACGGGCACACAAGCTAAAGGCCCAAATGGCCGGACTTTATACCGGTTTCCATAGCATGAAGCGTGCCTAGGAGTATTGCTACTCCCCCCTGGACAGGATGCTAGTCCATTACAGGGTTACCCCCCAGGCAGTTTGTCGCTGGTAGCCATTTATACACCTGGGTGAAGAGAGACAAAGTGGAGTAAAGTTCCTTGCCTTTAAAACTCGACGGGTGAGGCTTGAACCCCGGACCTCCAGATCTAGAGTTTTTAAGGTGTTAACCCTTTAAGTCCCAATGGTGACCAACATCAATTTTCTCCCAACAACATTCATACCTTGCCAAGAGATAAGGTAATGAGAATTTATAAAATGATCAACAAAGACAAAATCAGTGCTTTGATCTTCTATCAAATTCTCTCAACTAATTCTTGAAGGAAATGCATGGAGATCAGTTTGGAAAATTTGTCTCTGGATATTGGGGCTTAAAGGGTTAACCGCTCGGCCACACAAGCCTCCACATCAGATATAACTGGGTTGTTCAAAGTGGGGTTAAGATAACCCGGGGTTAGTGCCAATGTGGAATTCAGAAATAAAACCTTAAAAAGCAAATTCAGTTTTATAAGAATTCCGGATTAAAATTTAACTCCAGGTTAGTGCTAATCGTCCTTCGAACGACTGTGCCTAGATCTTTACATTCATCTGCGGCGTGGTCTGCCTCTGTGACACAGTCATCTCTTCTGTCTTCAAAAGTGCTTACTAGTGAGCAGTTATGCTATAGCTTATACCATAAAATTATTGCTACCTCTACTGATGTTAATATTGTAATTATAGCTCGTAATAACTAAGCAAGAAAAATGCTTTACACAGGCTACAAGAATGAAGATCACAAAAAATGCCAAAAAGTTTCAAAATCATCACCTAGAAACATGAATAATACATTAAAAATTTTGAAATAATTAAATTAAGGTATGTAGAATGAATTATTAATTCTACTGTCTAAATACAGTGTTTTAAATATAGTTTATTGCCAGGTGAGCTTTTTATACAAGAAAAATGCAATTTAATGGATATTGAATGATAGTAAAAAAAATTAAAAACAATGGAATGATTGGATTCTTCATACTTTAGTACTATTGTAAGACACATTAGAAAAGTAATATTAATGCTGTGCATGCATTTTCAAAGGAAGATTTGCATATGTTAGTACAAATGTAGTTCCCATCAGTGAGACAGTGGATCTACTGAATAAAACCTCTCCGAATAGTGGATTGCGCTGAATACAATTTTCATTGTACTATCTTTTTTTGTTATCTGTTTATGTGATAGCCTGCATGCATTACAGCTGGCCTACTCATTGCCTAAACCATTTGTCTAGTCCGTCTGGGAATTAGTGCACCAAAAGCTTGTCCTGATATCCAGCAGAATTGCAAGGATATATGTGAGCGTTTTCTGATAGGCGGGTTCCTTACGCGCCTTATGATTGGCCCAATTATTACGTGTGCATGATGGTTGGGTGAAGTGAGATGTCAAAATTGATAGCATGAAGGGAGTTGGTGAGGAGCGTTTATGGTAAACAATGAAAGTGCAGTTTGAACTTGAAAGAAAAAATGTGCTTGTAAATTTGCTGACTGGTTTTCCAGCATGTCACTCTTCCAAATCGTTGCAGATGTTGTGCCGAGTATTCTGCAATCTAGCAGACTGTGAGTTCAGCTAGCATCAGACCAAATCAGGAAATCATGAAATTCACAGAAGAAAAAAAAGCTACACACACGTAGTGTAGCTATTCAGGTCCAAGCATTTTGGAGAACATCAGAGAAACTAACCAGCTTCGTGAACTCAAAGCGGTGAAAGTAAGATTTGCTCCTTAATTTCAAAGTTTAGAATAGTCCATGCACAGCATGAGCAACAAAAACTTCCGCTGTTTAAGGTGGCTCTAAGGTCACTTTTTACAATATCACGAGCTCATTCTCTCTTGTCATGAGCTATGAGTCATGTCTGGCCAGTGAACACTTTATTTCAAATTTGACTGATCACGAACTGCAGAAGAAACTAGTCAATCAAAAATGTTGATATATGTCCTTGCGACTCTGTGGGATTCGAACCGATGTTTTGCACTAATTTGGAGACACTATATACAGAAGGTTTTTAATTAGAGTGTTTGTGATGATGCAGGCTATTGATGTGGTTGCCTTTACAAGATGATCTTGCTGTGAGTAAGATACCTTTGTGGGCAGGCATTGGGATTTAAAGTGTCCCAGCCCAGTCTGCCCTTTCAGTAGATTTAATACAGCTCTTCCCCAAGTTACACTTGGTACATTTGAGAGCAAGATTTCTGTCAGTTATGGCAAGTGTTGATCTTGACGATCTAATGAAAATTAACATAATTATAGGGATTGTAAACAATCTTTACATAGATAAAAGGCATCAGTCTCTGCAAGGTATACGTATGAAAGTGGCCCTGTGGGATAATTGTTAGATGTAAAAAATGATGATTCATTGTGGAGGATCTCTACAGTACATGTCTGTATATTGTTTTGTTATTCTCTGTAGCAAATCCTTTACTTGAGTCATTTGGAAATGCTAGAACTCTACGTAACATCAACAGTAGTCGGTTTGGCAAATATGTTGAAGTCCATTTTAATGAAAAGGTGAGTAAAGCAAGAAAACAACAATAAAATATTATATGATAGGAACAGTTTGATTTCGTTGAGGGTTAAGAGTTACACTGTAGCAAAGGAAAAAATCTCTTTTTTACAAGGATCTTATTTAAACAATTCAAGATTGAAATACTGTAGTTAGTATGACGTTTTACATATGTCTTGTTTTTCTCCTCTGAGTATTGAAAAGGGAATTGTACATGTATCTCACACTGGCCAACATGATACATGCATTAGAGGAGATAAATTTATTAACCCTTCGACCTCTAAATTTTAAGGGAAATTTTTGACAAAATGATTTATGATCAGCCAAATAATGATCCTGTTCTTTTCTGTCCTTCAGTGGGTCACAAAATAATATTCTTTGTCTAAAAGACCGGCATCTTTAAATCGCCAAGCCAACTTGGCCAGAAAGACACTTATGGCTTGTAAACACAATTTACACATACCTACAATTTATTATCAAGCAAATCTGTGGGGGGTCCCTTACCGGGCTCTGTACTACTAAAGGGCCTTTCTGACATTTTGCCAACTTAAAAAGGGGAATTGTAAAACGACTTCTGTTCCCCACTTTTATCACAGTGTTGCAGTGCTGCTGTTCAAGCTGCCTGTAGGAAACAAAAAACACCCCAGCTGGAGAGGAGAAAAAGGGGTGTGAATTTTTTTGTGCTCTGAAGTTACCCCACTTGAGGACCGTATCTCAACAATTTTGTTACAGATTGTAGTTACCCTGCCCTGGGTGTTAAAAGTTTTTCTTTTACTTCTTGCCACTGATAAGTGAGAAGACATCTGGCTTCCAGGGTATAGTTATCCTTACTGTACTTCAAAAAAAAAAAGAACCAATCTTTAAAATTCTGTATCTTTTTTCAACCAGGTGACTGTTGTTGGTGGGTTTATCTCGCATTATCTTCTGGAGAAATCTCGCATCTGCAAACAGAGTCATGGAGAAAGGAACTACCATGTGTTTTACAGGCTCTGCTCAGGTGCTCCTCAACAGCTAAAATCAAAACTAGGGATCACAAAGGCTGAGGATTTTCTGGTAAGCTTACAATTTACAGACTGTTTGCTGAAGTAACAGTGTTTACAAGTTTACTATTTAGTAACACCATCTTTTATTAACCCATATGGGAATTATTTTTGCCGAAAACATGTTTTGAAGCTAGTCAAGCTGTTTTCTGGTCACTGTCTGGCTATTAAGAGCTAAAACTTGCCAAAGTCTTGCAGTGGGCCTGGAGATGGGGGCATGCACAGAAAGAAAAATATTTTGAAATCAGTCTCAACATTTTCATTTTGCTTAATTTCCCTCATCCTTCTTTATTAAATGCTAATTTTATTGTCTGGTATCATTAATTTAATACCCTTCATTTTCGTGAGAAAAGCTTTTGGGGAAGCTTTTAGGATTGTAGGATTAGATAGAAGGTAGTGCAGGTTGGTAGTGCAACAAGATTTTTATCGGAACTTTTTTGGTTTAAAATCACATGTTTTTTGCCTTTTACTCCAGCCTCGTTAACTAAATCATGCTCTTTTTGATATGGTTTGAAATATCTTTTGCTGCTCCAGAAGTTAAGCAACAAAGTTGTTCTGGTCCATTAAAACAGTACTGATGATGTTGCAAGTCAAACAAGGGAAATTGGGTTAAGTTGTTTTGGGGTTGCAGTGTGTGTGACAATTAGTTTTTCTTTGTAGTACCTAAATCGAGGAACCATTAAAGACAAAAATCTTGATGATGCATCAGACTATCGCCGAATGGAGGAATCCATGAACAAAGTTGGTTTTTCGGAGGAGGAAAAAGCTAACATTTTCAAAGTTGTTGCTGCTGTGCTTCATATAGGAAACATTGCTTTTGAAGAAAGTCAAGATAAAGATGGTAAAATTCACCTGCATCTATCAAAAACATGGTCTGCATGTCTAACTAGAAAACCACATGAAATGCACTGAATGCAGTCTCTGCTTCCCTGATTGCAGGGCTGAGCTCTAACAGAGCCCGGTGGCCCATGGTGCCCAACTTTTTCCCTTGGGCAACTAGAAAATCTTACTTTTTTGACACAAATCGTATGCTGGGCTTCCTAGATTTTACATTTTCAGAGCACTGGGCTCTACCTTCAATTTTTTTTAGCACAGCCTTAAAATTCCAAGCACATGTAGTGCTTTTATTGGAATATTTTTTAAAACCAAGTAGATTTAGATTTCTAATAACATGGAACCAGATCCATATGCAAAACATTGTCCCTTTTTGGTATTACATCTTTTGGTGTGAAAGCTGTATCTTTGGGCCTCAAGTCGTGACATTATAAACCAAATGCAGTGAAGTATGTTGCTGAAAAGAATAGTACGTGGCTTTCATTCTCTGAGCTGTGCAACTCCAAATGTATCTGAAAGACAAATGAGAATATAAATTGAACAACTTAATTTTAGCTACTGTGTGTGTTTCTTATGGCAACTGCATTCCCTAATGAGTTTAATGAATTGTTTGTTGGCTGATACAAACACATGTTGTGATGCTATTTCTGTGCAGCTGGCTATGTTGTTGGAGCAATTGCCCAAGAATAATGTGCAAAGAAAGCAACAATATTTTTTGGTATGGTACACACACCATGGTAAAGGCATATCCCATGTTAATCAAGCCATGGTAAATTTCAACGTAAATTTCTTTGATGTAAACATGGATATTTCCCACGGGAAATTTATCGCGGGAAAGTCCGGTCACACGCACATTTACCACAGTAAAATTGTTCCTTGTAACCGCACCTATTGGCTAAGCTGCAAGTCAAGCTGAGGATAAGGGAGAAATCTCATTCTTCTGCTTTATTTCAAGGCTTGCTCTGGTAGCATCTCCTTTTTTCTTCACTGGACTTTGCTGAAACTGCCAGCTGCACAGAATCGTCGGTATCTGTCACATGAAAGATTAAGGTATATCAGTCAGGTTTGTTACTTGTATTTTCAGCTGATGCTATTTAATTCTCGTATTTTTAGGTGGTTCAGCTGTGTCATCAAAGAGCACCAACTCACTGAATACTGCTGCTCAGTTACTGGATGTGTCTCCAGAAGAGCTGAAGATGTCGTTAACAACAAGAATGATGTCAGCGGGAGGGTCTGACATGAGGTCTGAGCAACAACAGCGTCATCAAATATTGTGCTGTATCATTCCAATGGCTTTAATAATGGCTTTATTATTGCTAATCACTAAACATAATGGAATAAACAGTCTGATCTAACCACTATAAACTAATGCAAAAATCTTCATTTATGCTGTAACTTACACTAATCAGTATCACTATGAAGCATTTCATTATTGGCATAATTAGCTGTTTAAATTTAAAGGTATAGGTGATGATGAGGTAATTTATAACAGGTTGGTAAATTAAAGAGTGTGCAACATTTTTTTGTACAATATTAATGCTAATAGTAGTTAGTTAATACATTCTGTGAACAAAAATTTAGCAATGAGTGAGGTAATTCTTTAACATTATTGCTTCAAATTAAACTCTTAATCACATTCATTTTCCTCCTTAAAAATAATCCGTACATAATCAAAAATGAAGTCAGAATTAAGAGTGTAATAAGCCAAAATGAATTTGTTGTTTGTACAACGTTTCATATTTTCTTTTCTAAAAATATTTGTGGATGGGAGATTAGAATTTGTGGCTAAAAGAGTAACGAGATAAACCATTTGAAAACTCAACAAATGGCTCCTGCAATTGAGCTTCTAGACATCACAGTATCTAAAACATCTTTGATCTTGCCAGAACGGTTAATATTACCACAACAGTTGTAGACATGTCAGTAGACTTAGTCTCAGGTTAGTCCCTTAGTAACAGTAGTGTTAAATACTTCAATGAGCGCATTCTGGTGTGATTGCTTGAAGGTGACAAGTGAGGGTTTCTCTTCTGTTGTCTTTTCACAGGGTGCCACTAAAGCCAGAACAGGCCAGTGCTGCAAGAGATGCATTGGGCAAAGCGCTTTACACCAAACTGTTTGATCATATTGTCGCCCAGGTCAATCAGTGCTTCCCATTTGAAAGTTCTTCCACCTTCATTGGTGTGCTGGATATTGCTGGTTTTGGTGAGTCTATGGCTCCAGACCTCCCACCTCCCGCCTGATCACGTACATTGTATTCCCGGCTCCTCCCCCTTTTTTCATGGCCTCCTCCCTTTAACCCTTTTTCGATTTCAAATATTAAGCTTTTTGGCACAATTTCTCCCGCTTCCCACCCTTTTAGTACCTTTCCCTCCTCCCACTCTTCCCTCTCCCATCTGCCTTACCCCTCCCTCCCTATTCTCCCAGAATCCCACACCCCTAACGTCCCCCACAACTAAAGTGCCTGAGAAAACCATGAGGAATATACATGTACATACTGTTCAGTAAAGAAAACAAAAGTATTCAACTCAAGATGACTATTTTCGCTCCTGCTAGGTTGGAGCAGCTCATAGTGACATGAGCAAGGGTCTCACTGGCTGATTATTATTCCGAAGAGTTGACTTTGCTCTTTAAAGTACTCGTTGTTATGGCTTCTGTATTTTTGAGGGGACAAAGTGGTCATCGTGGGTAACCATTCATTCCCGTTTCTGCTCAACTCTTGACTTGTTTTTATTTTGTTTCACCTCTTTTTTACCTACCCCTATTATTGTGAATTGCATGTGTCTCAATACATATTTTGATTTTTTTTTTGTTTTTTGACAGAATATTATGAATTCAACAGTTTTGAACAGTTTTGCATCAATTACTGCAATGAAAAGCTTCAACAGTTATTTAATGACAGGATTCTTAAACAAGTAAGTATAGTGAGCGCTTTGACTTCACGTCAATATTTGTTGAAGATTCTCAGGCAGCTACCATTAGTTACTGTTAATCGTGTCTCCCCAACCCCACCCTATCCGGGAGCAACTTTATAGCACTAAGGGAGGGGGTTAGCCAGGGTCTTTTTGTCCCGTTCATTGACTACTGAACCACCATTTCTAATTAGTATAATAGCATTGTTTTGGTAGACTAAATCGTTTGCTCTGGTGGGAAACTTCTCATACTCAATGTGCCTCGCTCAGTGCCACATTTCCTGAAACCTTCTAGTCATCCAATTGGTCAGCTCTGATAGTTTAGTACCAAGCGTTTACAAACTGTAATCTCTAGAGATCAAATGTAAATTATTTTTGTACAAATATTAGGAACAAGAGTTGTACGACAGAGAAGGTCTGGGAGTGAAGACTGTGACGTACGTGGATAATCAAGATTGTATAGGTGAGGATCTACCAAGTGCGTGTTTTTGTCACGAGAAGAATGAGGGAAAAGAAATGAATCAGTTTCGATATTTTGTATGATCTTGAAATTATTTTTTGTGAACCACACCAAAGTGAACAGAATGGAGGAGAATAAAAGGCCCGTGTCAAACGTCGAGCAACTGCTTTGCCGATCGGAACTTATTTCATGCATTTAATACAAATGTATTAAACTAAGAAGAAAACATTTTAAAAGTTGATTAAACCGCTTTTTATCTCTATTCTTTATTTTCGACAAAATCTTCTCAATTCGACTGAGTTAATTCGATATCTGAATTTAAGTCGTGCTACAGTCGAGCCAACTTAGTGCGGCAGTAGCACTATATTTGAAACTGAGTTGATAAAATCAATTTACCATGGTTATTTAAAACTGAGACCAAAAGCTGACGTCACAAGCGCTAGAACTTCATCCGAGTTTATCAAGGGAATGTTTGGTACATTTTCTTGATTCACTGGGACGAAGTTCTATCGCTTGTAACGCCAGCTTTTTGGTCTCAGCGATGGTAAATTGACTTTTTCAAGTCGAACTGGAAAAAAGCCGTCTAATTCATTTAGCCGCTGATAAACGTCATGTTCACGTCGCCCCCACAAAACGTGAAATTAGGCATTTTCGCGTCGTAGTCGTGCAGTGATGGTAAAGATGGTGATGGTAAAAAAATGTACAAAAAAGGGTGATGCACGTGCAGAGTTGTTGTTTCTCAGTCCAAAATAAACTAATTGCTTTTTTACCGTTCTCATTGACGTCGCCGTCGTCGTTGCTTAAGCTCCCTATAACAGCTAAGACGCAGCCGTTTTTGACTCGTCACGAAACAACGCTCCTCAGGAGCGTTGGGCTACGAAACAGAAACAATTGCGTGTGAGACTAGCGGTGGTCGGGTTCCATGGGTTTGTCGGTAGCAGTAAAAGCACAAGGGGAGATGAGGGAAATGTTAAAAAAAAAAAAAAAAAACGAAGAACCTTTCAGAAAAACAGAACGGGAAGGCAGCAATTACTGGATGATACGTCTTGTAGGTTTAGCATACAGGTGTACATGTATCCAACACTATATCAATGTATTGGATATTCTAGATCTGATTGAGGCTAAAAAGACAGGAATTATCGACATTTTGGACGAGGAGAGCAAACTTCCTAAACCAACAGCAGAGCATTTCACACGAGAGCTTCATCAGAAACACAAGAATCACTTCAGGCTGGCGGTAGGTGAAATTCTGTAGCTTAAGATATCAACATGTTTTCTCTTTTTTGGTTTTCTGAAAAGGTTTCGTTTGAATGGTAACACCGCAGGGTCTACAGAATCAGAAGTTAGAACTGCTTGCCAAATAAATAGTATCTTGTGAAAGTACTGCTGAAGAGAATCCATTTGAATAGTAACACCATGAGATTTCATCCACAGACTCGGAATTTAGAAGTACATACTGAATAAATAGCACCGTGTGAAACTACTGCTCAAAAGAATTCATTTGAATAGTAACACCATAAGATTTCATCCACAGACGCGGAAGTTATAATTACATACTTATTAAATAGTACCACGTGAAAGTACTGCTGAAGATGTTTCATTTGAATGGTCACACTGTAGGATTTCGCCCTAACACGAAACATTAAAAGAAAAATTAGCGTCCTTTCTGTTCCCGAACACGATGCTATAATCGAGTGACTGAACGTATCTGCATGAGTCCACTTATCATACGTCATATGTCAGTTTTATTGACCAGCTGAACTTGTTTCTTTATGATAAGATTCCCAGGAAGTCTCATCTAATGTACCACAAGAAAATGAGGGATGATGAAGGATTTCTTATCAGACATTTCGCTGGCGCTGTTTGTTATAACACTGTAAGTAAACCCTGATGGAACTCTTCGAGTAAACTTCAACTTACAGATGACTTTCATGTCTTCAGATGACTGGCTTTTTCACAGTTTTTAACAACTTTTCGTGTATCAGCTAAGATGTTACGAAACTTATAACACAATTACCGATAAGTGAACTTGCGTTTTTACGAACTTCATCTTGCTAATTCATACTCACCCAACAACCAGTCAAGAACTCCTGGTGACAATTTGTCAAAGTCAAAGCCGGTAAAGACATCAGGGAACTTAAGCAACGGCAACAAGAACGGCAAAAAAGCAATATGTTTAGATTGGCAAAAACAACAACAACAACAGCTTTGCACGTACATCATTCTTTTTTGTACGTTTCTTTGCCGTCACTGCACAGCTACGACGTAAAACTTACGGGAACACATGACAACGATGTTTTTTTTCTTTTTGTGAACTTAGGTGCGGACCTTTATAATTCAACTCCCGAAGAAAATCGCAAACATTTGACAAATGAAAAGAGTTGCAACAACAGCGATGAAGTATGAAGTAGCACTACTTCACCTTTTGGATGACGTTTTCGCTGCCGTTGCCGTCGTCATTGCTTAAGCTCTCTATTAGAGACCTTTAGACTCGAGGACGATATTTTTTCCCGTATTCTCATTCTCAAAAAATAGACACCCCTGAAAGCTTCATAAAACTTTTAAGACGGAATCCACCAGGACATTGAGCAGTTTTGATTTTCAGTGGACAAAAATCTTATACCAGAATAATTTAAAGCATATTGCGTACAAGGTACAAGGTTTTTGTCCACTGAAAATTAAAATTATTCAATTTCCTGATGGATTCCGCCTTAACATTTCATAACTTGTTTCCGCCACTACGACCTTCTCGCTTAACCACGGTTATCACGTTTTCACGTCAAAATGACAGGCGCTGGTTTACGCGCGCGCACTACTTAGTAGGGAGCTAAGGCAACAAGGACGGCGACGGCTAAGAAATTGTCACTTAAAAAGTGAATTTGCGCAGCCTCAAACTGTATCACACTTATTCCATCTCGTTTAATTCGTCAAATGTTGGCAAATTGTTTTGGACGGTTGTGTTCTAAAGGACTGTATCAAAGTTCAGGAAAAGAAAAAGAAAGTCGTTGTCTTGTGTTCCAGTCCTCGACAAAATGTGAATTTTTTTTCACGTAGTCGTGTAACGACGACAAAGAAATGTACAATAAAGCGTGATGCACTTGCAAAGTTGTTGTTTTGCTAATATAAACCTATTGTTTTTTTGGCGTTCTCGTTGCCGTCGCCGTCGCCGTCGTCGTTGCTTAAGCTCTTAGGTATTGAGAAAATCTCATACTCGTAGTCGCCCTCTTCTTAGAATCCAAAGCCAATAGGTCGCTATTATTGCCCTAAACGGGCCGAATTTTAAGCTTAAACATTCTTGTTTGTCATAATTTACAGGCAGAGTTTATAGAGAAGGATAATGATGCACTCCACAGAGATCTCGAGGAGCTGATTCAGGATAGCAAGGATGCTTTTCTTAAAAGCCTTTTCCCAGGTTTTGCACCAAAGAAGAAAGGTATTGGTTCAATGTCGTTTGGTGGAAACATCAACCGAGGAGGCAGCAAGAAACTTGGCTTCATCAGTGTTGGCAACAAGTTCAGGGTAATGGAGGAATTCCTTCGTTGTTTTTCATGGTTTTTGTAAGAGGCTGTTTAGTCTGTGTAATGCTGAATTTTCTTGCTCCTCGTCCTCTTTCTCTGTTATCCGCCACCCGGTTAGCTCAATTTGGATAAGCGCTGGTCTGCTGAGCGGGTAGGCGGCTGGACCAAAACTCAGGGTATTAAAATGACTGAGGAGAAAGTGCTGCCTTTCTTAAGACATCTGCAAACGGTTAGAATTTTAAGTCTACTCGGATAAGGAAGATAAACCGTTGGCCCCATCTCGCAACCTTTGCACATATAATAAATTCCGTGGGACTTTAAAGAAACCCGCGCACTGTTCATAAAGAGTAGGTGACATAGCCCACGGTTTGGTGGTCCATCTCTTATGGGGGAGGTGGAGGGGGAAGGAATTGTTACGGGTCCGCAGTAGTTGGCGGCACAAGCTGTTGCGGTGACCTTGCCAAGAATTGGCGAAGCCAAGTAAATATCGATGGCTTGTTCTCGCCCAGCACCACGCAGCTCGTTACACACTCTCGAGGTCTTTTTTTTCTGCGCTCGCTTTTCTTTTTATTCGTACCGTCCACCTAAGGGCCAGGGTTTAGTCACTAGTTCCCCACTTTCCGGGAAGGAGCAATAAAAGGGAATCCCCTGAGAATGTGAGGGCATTGTGACTAGAAAGTAACGTAGAGACCCATCTCAAAGAAATATTAGAGACCTTAAGATACCCCGAAATCGGTGTACGGGTAACGGGTAGCGCCATGTTTTTTTCATTTTGTGGTGACGTCATCGACCTTACCCGGTAGAACCAGCCGTTTTTCCGGGGTAGACACCAGTTTATCCGTATAAGATTTCGTTGCAAGTCCACATGATGGAGAAACGAGTAAGTTTTTAAGACTTTTAAGTGCAAATGTAAATTGTATGACTCCTTGGCAATGTTATTGCAAGTCTGTTCAAATATTTTTTTTTAGCTGTAACGCTTCAAAATGTATTGATTTTGGACCTCAAATTTTGAATGAAACGATATCAATTTGTGGCGGTATTTGGGGGATTTCCGAACGTTTGAGTTTCGCAAAAGAAATAGCATTGAACAATTTAGCATGGGAGTCACTTTGAAGTTGACAATCAAAGGAATTGTTTGGAGATGTGCCTCCAAATGGCGGGGTTTGCTTTCGGTCGAGGGACTTAGCCAATTAAAAAATGATATTTCAATAAGCTTATGTATGAATGAATTATTTGTTGCAGCTTGTTGTTAAGATATGAAGTGTAGAATTTGAGAGAGATTTTGACATTAAGCGACATGCATGTACAAAGTTCATTTTGCGTGCTTGTTCTTTTAATTCTTCGGGTATCTTAATCGAAATAGTCACGCACATGAACATTTTACGTGTACGGGTACACTACCCGTACCCGTACACCGATATCGGGGTATCTTAAGGTCTCTATTGTCTGAGACCTTGTGGCGCTGAAAGTGAATATCCAAGCATTTCTCAAGATAATGTTTTTATGTTCTCTTAAAACTAAGACTGTTGATTTTTTTAAAAAATCAGTTTCTTTTCACAGACGCAGTTAAAGCAGTTGATGGAAAAACTCGGCAATACTGTGAGTAAAGTTAACACTTAAAAAGGCCAATTACTTTTTACGTAATTACAGAAGTATTAATGGTCAGCTTAAGTTTCACGTATACGGCAAACGACAAACGTCAGATTCAAGTTGAGAATCTCTCTATATAGAAAATAAGTAGATAAAAACTGCTCAAAACAATTCTTATGGATCAAAATTTGCGTGAAACTACTAATTATAGGTAGAAATAATCAACAGCAAACGACAAGTAATTCACGTGGTACAAATTCGCGTTTGCCGTTTGACGTAAACGCGATGCTTAACCTCGCTAATGTCGTCTTAACGTTGTCATTTTCCCTTCACTGCTGTGAATTCATTTTTTCATCGCACATGGTTCTGTTTAATATCAGGGTGCGAGCTTCATTCGTTGTATCAAGCCAAATGCCAAGATGGCTCCGCGGGATTTTGAAGGAGGCTCAATTTTGAGTCAGTTGGAGTGTGCTGGAATGGTATCAGTGCTAATGCTGATGCAGGATGGCTGGCCATCCCGAGCTCCCTTCAAAGAACTCTATCAAATGTAAGTAAAATTTCTGTTGTTTTTATTAGTAAGAAATTAGAGTATAAATTAGGTTATACTTATCATCTTAATACGTAACAATCTGTCATGTGTGATGAGTGAAGCGTTCTTCGAGTCCAACTTTGTGTACAAGACAAGGCCCAGCCATACGAGCTGATGTTTTTGTAACCTCCCAACAACTGTAGGCCTGGTGTTCACACTCAAAGAACTTTTTAAAAGCTAGAAGTCCAGTTTTACAAGAGTAGTTACCCCGTTTTTCTCGATTTTGTTCCAGGTACAAAGATTACTTGCCTCCTCGGCTTGCACGGCTTGATCCTAGGATGTTCTCTAAAGTAAGCACTGTTCTGTTGTACTGAATAGCTATATTTTTTTTATCCTTCAGAGCGGGCGTATAAGGCGGGCGTTAAATAATCCTTCGAATGGTCTGCCGCGATCTTGAGTAATTAGAGAGACAGAGGGTCGGGGCGAGCCAAAAAATGATTCCGGGGTGGAGGACGACGGGCTCTATTTTCCCTTCCCCTCCCCTCCCCTCCCCTCATGCTTTTCCTAACCCTCCTGCTCTTTTTTTTATTTGCTTCCAAAATGGTGGCCTAAGCCGATCGAATTTCAAACGAGCGTTCGTTAAAAAATCCTTTGCTCTACAGGCTACCATTTTCTGTTAAGTGCATTAAATTAACTCCAAGTATCACTGCTGTAGGCTTTGTTTCACGCTCTCGGGATGGACGACAAGGATTACAAGTTTGGTCTTTCCAAAATCTTTTTTCGCCCTGGCAAGGTACGTTTCTTTGATGTTACAGTGAAAGAAGATGACAATAATTATGTCAAAAGGAAAGTTGTTGAAGATGATACTAAGTTCTTCTTTTCTTCTGTAAAGTTTGCAGAGTTTGATGAAATTATGCATTCTGATCCTGCGAGTTTGAAGAATATAGTGTCTAAAGTTCTTACATGGCTAATCAGAACTCGGTGGAGAAGAGCCATATGGGGAACACTGTCCGTCATTAAATGTAAGCTTTCCTTTCAACCCACTAGATTTTACCTTTTGTTACAGGAAAGCCATAGCGCAACGTTGTTTCTGACGAACGATGTCTGCCATTGTATTTCTGTATCTAATTTTAAACTGGGTAATAGAAATAATCCTTGTTATGAACTTAAAAAGAGTTGTGTTGTGTTATTTTAGTGATGAAGAAGATTGCTTTCCGAGCAGAAGCCATCATTCGAATTCAGAAAACGGTCAAAATGTTCCAGGCCGTGTGTCGCCACAAACCGCGGTAGGGACGTTATTATACTGTGAATGTTATATACCTTGGTGCGCTTTTCTAATTGTTATATGCAATTTAAAACACGAGGTTCAACAAGGTGGCTCTAAAGTTTTGTTTCTACGTCAAAATAATGCCGTCGGACCCTTCACCAAATACGTCAGGAGAAAGGCATATATTCATTCCTCATATTGCACACCAGCTGTCCTGGCTCAAAGTAATCATTCATAGACCAAGGTAGCCCAAGTAGACCCGCATAGCTAGCCCAGGCTCGAAATGTCAGCGTTGGCACTGTTTCGTAACCAGCGGAATATTTGTATGGGCCAATATGTTTTTCTCTTAAAGTGTATCAGTTATTGAGGTTCTTACCACAAAACGAACAAATTACGAAATGTCACGACAAATTTCTTTCTTGAAAATTCGATCACACTTTACTGTCCGCTCATCTTATTGAAGTGATTGCATAGCTATATTAATGATGGAAATAACCCCTTTTTTGCAGATACCAAGGGATCATTAAAATCAGAAGACTGCAAGTTCAACTTACTCATTTAGAAGAACTAGGTAAAACGTCTTCGACAACATGTAACATTTCCACGCAGACCAGGGCTCTACATAAATTTGGACTGTTGCCGGTCGTGTTGACCGGCCAAAGAAATTTCATCTCGGTCATGTGTCTCTTCTGACCGGTCAAAATGTTGAAAATAACAATATAAGAACCTGAACGTACTAGCCTAACAAGCAAAATCATGAAGTAAAAAAGCTGCTTGTCCTCTTGAAAGATGATACTTACGTGTCGAAGCAAAATGACTAGGAAACTGTTTGTCCCAGGACAAATGGTTATCTTGGCTAAACATTGTCTGTTGACGGGCCATTATTTTGAGCCCTGCAAACAATACCTTGGGAAGGTGTATGTAAAGAAAACAGGTTCAAAAACAGGTGAAAGTGCGTTTCTGTATAAAACAGTTTGTTTACGAGAATATGCTTTTCTGTACGGGTTCACTTGGTGCCGTAAAACTTGGTAGAAATATTTCAATGCGTGAGAGAGTTTAAGCGTGAACATTGCCAGGTTGAAACGACCTTCCCTTTTGTTTTATCTTCTGTATGCTTCTCTCTCCTGCAAAGGTTTCCCTTTTAAAACAAAGAAGAGGCGATGTTTCTTCTCTTAAGCATTTTAATCGTTCCCAATGCGCTTACCTCTTCCCCATCTCCAGCCTTTCAAATCGGCGAAAGGCGCGAGGCTTAACCCAAAGAGAAAAAGAGCTTACCGGGCACAGCTGTAAGAATTGGTACAAGACGTAAAACGCAGTCTTAGTTTCATTTCCTATGATCTGTGTGGTTATAGATTTACAGGGTGTAGAATTACTGCGATGTTGTAAATCTTCAAAACTTTAGCCAGCTTCTTAAAAATGTAGTGGCCAACTCGACATTGACTTCTATACAGGCTGATGGCGACTCAGCGTGTGAGATAATCGAACTCTCTCTGTCAACGAGACGTCAGTTAATTAAGGCTGATCATTGATTCTAACTGTGGACGTGTTCTCGTTTTAGTGACAGGTTTGAAAAAAGACCAAAATGTGCTGGCGAAAAATGTCGAAGGACTTCGAAAAGCAATCGAAGACTCTATTGTAAACGTCAAGGTAACATACAAAATAAAAGCCATTTAACTGTATACTCATTAAGCTTCACAACGTTTAAGTGCCATAATGAGGTTCTCTCTGCATTCCCTTAGAACATTATAATATCAGCAAGGACACTAAACGCTTCAATTACGGATAATCTTAAAAAAAGTGTGAAGCAAACTCATTACTTCTTAAAAGTTATTAAACACTCGAATCTGCGATCCAATGAAAAATCACCAACCGGTCGGTTGACAACTTAAAAAAAAAACAATTTTGCTCGATCTATGGTCGGCAATTTGCTGCGGCCTCCGTATATCACTCATATAAGAGAACAACAGTGTCTAATGGTTAAGTGCGCCACGTCACATTAGTTTTCCTTTGGTTACGTGACAACCCATATTTGCGGAAATATACATTCCAGGCTTTTTTTTTTTACCGAATATGCATGTCTATCTATTATTATGGATAATCACAAGTGGAACGTTTCGCATGAACCACAGTGGCCTACCCGAGGCCGATTGGCGTTAAACTGGAGACTGCTTATCTTCACTTGACAGGATGCTAGTCCATCACTGGGTAACTCCTGGGTGTTTCTCGACAGCAACCTGACATCCACCTATCCTATTTTCGAAGATAACAAGGGAGAATCTGAAAATACCAGAGGTTTTAAAACACTCCTAATCTCATTTCTGTTTACACTGTAGAACACACTGATGAAGCGAGATGCTGTCGATGCGTTGTACTTTGATCTCGTGGGAAAATTAAACAAACAGCTGAAGGATGTGGAGAAACGAGTGGAGAAGCAGAAGATTGAAGAAGAACAAGAACGGCTGAGGAAAATCCAGGAACAAATGGAACTGGAGAGAAAAAGAAGGGAAGAGGAAGAGAGAAAGCGAAAACAAGAAGAAGAAGACAGAAGAATGTGAGTACCAATAAATGAATGAATGAATGAATTGCAACAAACAAGTTTCCAAATTAGCCGTTTACCCATCTAATTTGATACAAGGAATTAAAATATTCGTTAAAAGTAACAACTAAATTTCAACGATTTAAAATCTGTATGACTAGTTACAATATTTGGGAAATTTAATATGTTAACGATAAAACGATCGAATCTATTTAATTACAGACGAAGTTTGCCTTGCGACCACTCTCGTAAGCGACCAGCTCTATTTACGACCACCATTGTGAAACCTCGATTGAACTGTGACTTGAACCTTGTAATGTAAAGCTCTCGTAAGCGACCGCGACCACTTTTGGGATTACCTAAGTGGTCTTTTCCTTTGCTTTTGAGCTCTCGTAAGCGACCACTCAGTCTTATTCATGTAAATCAACACTTAAATGAAACTGCGCACAGCGCTAATGATTCGTTGATAAAGATCTTGGGGTTATTTTGGTCTAAAAATTTGGACGTAAAGTATAGCTGTGTCTTTATCAGAAATAAAGACACTCATTGAATATTAATTTATTATGTTTTTTTTTACGAACTATTGATGCGCTTCTGAAGCTCTCGTAAGCGATCACCCTCTCTTGTTTTACCACGCGGTCGCTTATGAGAGCTCATTCTTGTAAACGACCAGCTCTAGTTACGAGCACTTTTTCAAATTTCCGAGGTGGTTGCTTACAAGAGCTTCAACTGTACTAAAAGGGAAGTCTCTCCTCGGAATGTTTTGAAACTATCTGTGGTCTTCAAATCTCTACCACGGTTCGTAAGTGACGTTCATACAATTGCCTCGAAGCAGTAACTATGTACATCAGAGGAAAGCTAAGTAAACTGCTCACTCGCATGATAAACTTTATGCATGATATTCATTTGCGTTTTCTGTGTATCATGCACTACATGCAGTGTTGACCAGTTTAGCTCTTCTTTTTAGCAAATGCGGTTACTGTGAAATAAGACATTTACTTCACTACACTTTAAGCCTGGCTTTAGTCATATCATCGCTATTGTCGTTGCGGTCGCTAAGGGATCGCCGAAAATTCTGTTTTTGATGTCGTTTCTACGATCGTCCTTGATAGCCACCGTATAGAATGTGCCAGGTTTTACATGGGGTAACTAACTATCAATGGTGTTTAATATAAGGTGATGAACGGAGCAGTGTTTTAGGGATTTTTAACCTTGGGCTTTTAAAGTGCAAATAAGACGTGGATAATTTTCCCCACAAGCTTGGATGGTTAGTCCTATGTCAGTTACAATTTCATCGAGTAAGAGTGTTGTATTGTCCTTATCCGATAATTTTATCATCAAGGTTTAAGCTAAAACTATTGACCTTACTGAAACTGGGTTTCTCTTTGCAAAGGCGTATGGAAATGGAAGCGAGGCGTAAACAGGAAGAGGAAGAACAACGCAAGCGGGAAGAAGAAGAAAGAATCAGGAGAGAAAAAGAAGAGGCTGACAGACAGTTACAGGTCGGTGAATGGCAGCATTGCCCATCGGAAGCTTTTATTGAGAACTAATTTTCATTGTGGGAAAGTATGCGTCAGACAAGGAAAATATAGGACTAGCAGTGTCCAGTAGGGTGTGACAAAAGCCTGGTTCTGTCAATAAGGTGGGACGATCAGTTTTATCATGAGCAGTTTGTGTGTCATGTGTGTCCAGTGACCAAGAAGCTATCAGACCGTACCCAGAGGAATAGATTAACAGGCAGACAGAGACAGAAATAGAGACTGGCAGCTTGCATTAGCTAAGCAGGCAAAGAACGACCGAACATAAAACTTAAGGCTGTCCTCTGGTCCTTGTCCTTTAGAAATTTGGTTTTTTTTTATTACCCTTGTTCATAACACTCGTCAGTTATTTTTCTAGTTAGTTAAGTGAATTTTTAGTGAGGTTTGTCTTTTGCTGATCTCCTACAGGCTTTAAGAGCAGAAGAGGAACAAAGAGCAAGGGATGAGGAACAGCGAAGGTAAGTCTGTGCCGCTTAAATGCTTTTCCGATTGACTTTGATACTTTTTAACTCATGTCAGTGGTACTACGATGAGTAGAGAAAGCGGTGACATCCTTTTCGTAGAGCAAATAACCAGTTCGTTTTTGCGCAAAGTGGTTTTCACTTATGTTCTTTAAAGTCAAACCGTAATCAGTTTTCGCCAGTTGCCGTTGATGCAGACGATTTTGTCAACTTTTCCGAACTCAAGGCAGGCAGGCCAGTTTGGTGCAAAGCGCGGGAAACTTAGTCTGAATGGTTTTGGTTTGAGGTCGGATGGGATTGAAAGTGGTGCACAATCTTGCCAGTGGGAACACAGATTATTACAAAAACAAACAGAACTATCGAGAGCTATTTTTAAAGGCACTTACGCCATAGCACAGATTGCTTCAGGCGCCATTGTAACGTGGTGTGTTACTTTGCAGGCTGGCTATGATTGAACAGGAGCGTAGAGACCGTGAACTGGCTTTACGACTAGCACAGGGTCCTGACGCTCTGGACAGTGAAGCGCAGCAGGCACCCCAACTTTCACTGCAAAGGTCAGTGCAGTGACAGTTCATAACGCGTTGATCCGAGGATTTTGTTAGGTTGCATAGTCGTACCTTTTTGTGGATAGTAATTAGTTTAAAACTAGTCTGGTCTTCACACCAGGCGATACGAAGCAAGGCAAGTTGCCTGATAGGAGTGCAGTAGACACTGGGGGTGAGACGGCGAGGGGAAGCGGTTATTAGGAAATAATTTTGCCACGTGGTGTTTGGCTGGGGCACCTAAATCTTTACAGACCAGGACTCCTGATGTCTGCCCTTTGGACTATGTAGCCTTCCGCGAACCTTTTTGATATTTTATAGCCGTAGTTAAGGTCGCAACTCTAAAGGCTTGTACTTGAACATGCTTTAAATGAATGAATTGATGTAAAGCAGTACCCACATCTGGTTTCACATCTGTTTCGCTTTGCGGTTCACATATGGGGCTATCAGCTCGGTTGGCTAGACCATGTAAGTGAACTCTCTATTCCTCTCCTCTCAATGGGCACTGTCTTCCAGTCTTAAAACTTTGGCCAATTACATAAGATTGCGTCGCTCAGATAAGTGAATAATTATTTTACTCAGTTGTTTTCTCTGTTAAAAGTGCTAACACCTGACACCTCCTGTAAATTTTGAGTTTCATAAAGTCTTTTTCTTCGTTGCAGGGCTCTGCCGCCATCAAAAGAGAAGAAGAAGCATGACTTGACATCTTGGAAGTACGCAGAGTTACGCGACACCATCAATACGTCATGTGGTAAGCTAAATGCTTATGATGCTACCCCGAAGAGTGGAACTTGACTAACTGATCACTACCTAACCAAAGGGAACGTGTACTAGTTGCTAGACCTCCCGCTATTTTCAATAATAACGTCGTTTAGATTGATTCCGGCAAACTCACCTCCTTCACTTACGAAGATAATCGTGAGCGGTAAATACAGTACTTTAACAATTTGATTATAGTTTTGCAAGAATTATGAAAGCTTTAAAACAAACAAATATGAATAAAGTAAGCGTATGCATAGCAAAGTTTAGTTTAGCCTTTGTGGATGCCAAGCCTCGATTTGAAGCAGTCCAGGTCAGGCACTTGCACTTCATTTGAGGTTGTATCAATTTGTATACATGTAATTGTTTGAAACTGTCTTTTTTCCATTCTGCCCACTTCAATCATCTGAGACCGTGATGAATTTTAAATATTATGTCCAAACGTATCAATTGCCCATCCCAAGTGATCTAACATTCCATCAACGCTAGATGTTTGATGGTATCTGTTTTTGACAAACCTTACCGTTCAGGGTCTCCTTCACACAGGAGTGGAATATGAAAAAACAAAACAAAACAAAACAAAACAAGACCTGCGTCTATGATTCATTATCTTTTTGTGCTTAATGTAGATATCGAGCTTCTAGAGGCCTGTCGAGAAGAGTTCCATCGGCGACTAAAGGTTTATCATCAGTGGAAGAAACAAAACAAGGCTCAAAGACCCGACCCACAAGGAGCTCCACAGAGAGCACCACAGGATATCATGCAGGCAGGTCAGTTCATCAGCCAACTCTTATATCCTACCATCAAAATTCAAATTCTCATTTGTTATCCCTATACGTTTTCAATAAAAGTAGTGGGGAGAGTTTGATTTGTTGTTGAATTTGTTCATGTCCTTAATTCTCATGACCACCCTGTTTTATAAAGCAGTGATATTACAAGGAGAAATTTGACACTGATCACTCTTAAAGCTTAAAGGGTTAAACTGTTCAGATTGACTGCCTAGGAGTAACTAAAAATCAACATCACAGTTTCACAAGTCATACCTTGAAAATTGCGGGAAGACTCCGAAGTCAGAAGCATCTTTGACATCCTGATAAACAGTTCCATAAGAAAGTGATAAGTGGTCGCACTGAAGGAGAGGAGAGTGTCCTTTGTATTCCATGTTTATCTCTCCTTTCCTAAACTTTTTTTAATCCTCTATAGTTAACCATTTACCTTTTTGGTGTTTTCTGTTTTACCAACTAATATTTTGAGGTTTCCTTCAGTTTAAGATAATTGTGCACATAGCAAAAAAACCTACATCCACAAATCCACAAATTCGGCAGTTAAAGCATACTTTTACAGCAAACATAAACAAAGGTGGAATTCCAAGGGAGAATACCACACCCACGTAAAGGCGGTACTTAATGTAGAGTGAAAAGAGTTTAATGTGTTTTTTTCTCATTGGCGTTTGCCTTCTGTCACAGCTGAACAAGCCCCACCTCTCCCTCCTCGACCATGTCGTGCGGAGCAAGCTGTTGCCCCATCCCTCCCCCCACGGAGGCCGCAGAGATTTTTCCGTATAGCGTTCATGCGGCGCTCGAATCAGTATCGGGATAGCGAGTTTAAGAAACAGGGCTGGTGGTAAGTCTTAATGTGGTAACTATAATTTTAAATACGGAGCGTAATCCACGACGACGAAGACGACGGCAACGAGAAAGACAAAAAAGCGATAGGTTTTTTGGACATGTTTCGCTTTTCTTGCACGAGCAGGACGTGAAACTGCCTAACTTCACGTTTTGTGGAGAACTTTGAACGAGATTTTTACAGTCCTGTAAATCAGATCCAGAAAAATTCACCAACATTGGTAAAATCGACTGACATGGAATAAAAGCGATGAATTTTGAAACAGCGTTACAAATGTAAGTGAATTCACTTGTTAAAAAGACGTTTTCGCCACCGTCGTAGACGTTGTTGGGTAAGCTCCCTATAATACCTAATATAGGCCAAACAATGGTAGCAAAATGAAATACCTACTTTTGTCTCACATAGCTGTAATAGTACAACAAATACTATAACAGTTCGATACACCATTTATTTACAATAGGACAGTAGTTAACCTTACAAGGTAAGGTAAGAGACGGGAAATATCAGGAAAATGTAGTCATGGTTTTGAGGGGGATTGATGCTTAACCCTTTCACTGCCAAATGTGGCCAAAGGTGAGTTGCCTCACAAATCTCTTTCATGAAAAACACTCTGGCAGTAAAAGGGTTAAGAGAGGTAAAAGGCTCTGCCCTTGAATAACTAAGTGGTTTTTTTAAGCTTTAAGTCATCTTGGTGTACCCGTAGATTAACAGTTACTCTCACGGTACTTTTTACGCCACTTGTACGAACCAAGTCTAAGTTAGGTGACAGAGCTTTTACGATAGCGATGCCCATGCTCTTGAGCTCTCTTCTCAAAAAGCTTCGTGTGTATAATTAACAGGATTTTTTAAATTGTCATTCTGTCTTTTACCTGTCGTTGTAATGCGGTTGTAATGCGCAGCTGATCATCCTCATGTTAAGAGAAAAAAAAAAGTTATATTATTATTGAAGCTGTATTACAGAGTTTTCTCACATTCAGATAACCAGCCTGGGGTCAGGAGGTTCTTAGAAATCTAGGAATGGCGACATTGTTTGGTTCATTATCCTTTGTTTCGTTACCCAACACAACAACTCGTTTTGAGAGCAATGCGGAATGAAGAATGTCATTTCATGTCTAATTTCAAGATAAAGCTCTCTTAAGCACTAGTATTTACAAATTCTTCCCCCTTCCTGGATCATTTTTGACCCCAAGTGAACAACATTGACAAGGGTGGGAGGGGAAAGGCCTCACTGCTTACTTGCGGCACCAAATCCACGAGATGGCTAAAAAAGCGCAAAATTCGTATCACCCTTTGCCGTGATTGTACCGCCCGTAGTTTGTGCTATCAATGTTAAATACTCATGCATTTCGTTTGTCAGGTATGCACATTTTGACGGTCAGTTTATTGCGCGTCAAATGGAGTTGCACCCTGGTCAGCCTGGTTTGCTGTTAGTGGCAGGAGAAGATGATTTAGACATGTGTGAATTGAGTCTGGATGAAACAAGACTCACCATGCGACAGGGAGCTGAGATTACCATGAGAGACTTTGAAATCGAGTGGTTAAGGAATGGAGGTTCTCAACGTCAATATCAGGCTAAAATGTATCAAACACAGAACTAGTTGAGACGTTTTTGAGTTGTCACGCAACGCTGTGTCACGAAGGGATGTTATCACATTCAAATTCTTTATTTGAGGCAAGAGTGTTGCGTGACAAATTCGAATTCTTATTGAAGCCTAATACGTTCATTCTGGAAGTAGTATTCTTAATATACTAATAATACTAATATACTCCCCTCTAATAACAACAAATGGGATCGTTCAGATCGATTATTTCAAACATTTCCATCTAAAATGGACGATAGCATGTGTATTTGATGGGATGGGAGGAAGGGGTGTCTGGTTGATTACCTTCGTAATCTTGAACAAACTCGTGCTCGTTTGAGCGGTTGTAATAACCATTTCATCGTAGGACAAAGATAAATAGTAGAATGCACTAGGTACGGTAGAGTGTTAGTTTAAAATTTATTTCTTGGACAGGTCGTGGTTTTTTGTTGCACAACAGAGCAGTTTGATATAATCGATGTTTATACTACCACCTGGACCCCTGGAATTTGGTTCCTTAGAGCAGTGGTATTTCAGCTTAATTTATACAAACCTTCTAGGGGTAGTAGAAGGAGCATGACAGAGCAGTTTGATCAGTATTACGATGTAAACCAGTGTCGTCCTAACGGCTCGTGAAAATTTAATTTTGAAAAATTGTGCCATGACTACAAATCATTTGACTATACAAACCAGTGTCGTAGATGCTAAATTAAATTAAAATTGTGCCATGACTTCATTTGACTACCAATACTTAAAGAGACAAGAAGCTGTAGTGAACTGACGCCATCGACAAGGTGCTGTTTGTAGAGTAGGTAGGATTTAACAAAGTTTTTTGGAATTTGTTCGTACAGGAAAGTTAAAATAAATTATGAAAGTAATTATGCGCTATTAACTAAGCGCGTGACCAAGATGGATTATGCAATTTTTTTTCTTTCGTGTTGTCGCGTATTTTATAGGCCGAGACCAAGTTGAGGCGTATGAAAACGCCACAAAAGAGGGGGGAAGTGCGAGGTCATTGTCGAGATATCTTCAATAAAGAATTGATTATATGACTTAGAGAACAACTAGTCTTACAGGGTGAAAGCAGAGAGAGTAGTTCAATCAATCCGCAAAACGCACGATTTGCTTCTTCAACCCGCCTGTTACAACGAACGTTTTGGAGAAAAAAAATTGTAAATTGAAGGAATAAAATATTTGGCGAGTTGACTTGAATTTCTTAAGACACCACACATGCATTGAGTGTGCAAAAACTTCTCATAAAGTTGAGATCGTTATAATTTCCATGTACTCGAAGAGTAATTACAAACCATCCTTTTATATCACAGCCAGGAAAATTCATTTATTTTAGCGCACAAATTTTGACCGCAGTATACTTTTTTTTTTCTGTTCTGTATATGATGACCAAGAATAAAATGGTGCACATGTAGTGGTTCAATTCTCTCCTGGGTTTAAATAAATTTTCCTTTGTCTTTGGGTACGATAATGTATGATAATGATTTAAAACAAAGAAAAGTGAAATTTAACTGGATCAAGGATAAAATTTCATCACAACACAGGCACCAAACGGTCTTCATTTATTTTCTAAGATCTGTAATGTCAAATTGCTGACACGAAATACCAATCTCAGATGAGAACTGATTCATACCATAAACTGGAATAATAACCTCGCTCCCATTGTCTTTAATATTTTTTGGTTAAACGTTTTTTTTTAGTTAGGTGAATATATGCAAGTTTAATGTGTTATTAGGCTATTTATTTAATTTATTTATTAATTTGAACGTTTCAAATAATTCAAATCATTGTGATAACTGTTTCCAGAAAACAGTGGCCTATTTTGTTTTATGCGCCAACAACAAGGTCTTACACTGGCCGTATTCACACTAGAGATGGGTTATCCGTTGGATAATTCGCGTCAGACAGTTAATACGTCTTAATTTGAAAATGGAACGGCCTTAATTTTAGATGCAGTGGACAATCCGACTTTATACATCTGTATTTCCGTCAATTTTGACAGATTTTGAAGATGGATTATCCGTCTCTAACGGGAAAACGGCCAATGTCGGAGATATATAGGAACTATATTTTTGCGAATTCTTCAATTAAAAGGGTTATCGCTAAGACAGCTATCACCAAAGAAAGCTGCTTATCAAAAACACGTTTCTGTTTTTACAGGAATGGTTTATCTAAATTTGTTTTTTCTTATAGCAATTTAAATACTGTGAAATAAATATTTGTTTTACCTCCTCAGTGTTTATTCAGTTTTGTCCTTAAAGTCACTCAATTATTGTATCGAGCGCTTGCGCAGTTAATCCCTCCCATTCCTCCCAGGGAAATCGCTAGGGAATTTAACATGCAACTGTATTTTTAAAAAGGCTTTGTCCACATGAAGCCAGCACTTTTTTTTTAGACGAATAGGTCTCGGATGAATGAGTGAATTCATGTACTCAGTACTGGTTCCGGGTGGACGGAGGAAAGATTCGTGTAAAGAAATTGCAGTTTCGAAAGTATCCGTATTCGTACAGACCGGGTGGGGCCTGGGGCTTAAGCGTTTGACAACCAATCTACAAAATTCTTTTCAGGCAAAGTTCCAAGGCTCAAACCCAATCCTCTGGCTGAGATCCAACGCGTCGACGACTCAGGTTAGCACGCCGCGCGTCAACAAGAACAACAACAACAACAAATTTTATTGAAAATTGGAAAATAACTAATTACATTACTTTCCCACCCGCAAATAGCTTATAAACTAATCGAGGCCGGGGGGGCTGAAGACATATTGCAAAACAAAATTTGTTTATAAATGGACTAAGTAACAGTTAAGACACTACTATACAGTAAATAGAATTTAAACTAACATAAAACAAGGCAGGTACATAACGATTACTCAGGCATAATATGACACACGAAACAAGATAACGAAACAAATAGAAGAAAGCAGAAGGAACACTTAAGCATCAGAAATTTGCGAAATGTTACCCGGAGCACTCAAACACACGTCCGTCCATCTTAGCCACATCACGTGACCCTCGCATTGCGCGTTGGAAGAATTAAAACTGCATAATAAAAATAAGATCCAACGGGCAGTTGTGACGGCTATGCACGTATGTTGCAAATGAATTGCCCCTCAATCTGCGGAAATTGCAAGTGCACGAGACGTCAGAAAATACAATGGAGAGCGCGCGTTTCTAAATTCGCTGAAGATCATCATTCATGTTCGCAAGAAGCGCGTGATGAAACACAGGTGTGCAGAAGTGGAATGCGGTGGGCTTAAAAAGAAAGAAAGAAAGACTGCTCTCTATGACATGTTCATGTTAAGTTCATGGAAAGGAAATAACTCAAAGACTTACGTGTGCTCGAAATTAAACGAATGAGTGTGTTATATTTCCCGTGAAGCAGAACAATCTCGGTCAACATCTGATTGGCCATTTCAGAGTTAAAAGGCTCGCTTTTTTAACGAGACTGAAAACCCTTTTTTTAAAAACAGAGGCTTGGGGCAATTCGGAAATAGTCTATAAGGATTGGGGCTGAGATTAGGAGCAATCGTTGACAAAATAGATGGGAAATTTGTACCCTCCCCCTTCCCTCCAAATCAAGGATGGGAAAATGGATAATGGCTCGTTTTGGTTTTTGCGGTCTTCATCCTTGATTTCGTCATTGACATGATGCCAGTATCTGCTAGTTGAATGAAAAATGCAATTACATACCTATGACATTTTACAAATTACAACTAAATTAGCGCACCAATCAGATTCGATATAGGCTAAAGGTACTTTTTTTCATTCACATTGCTTTATTATTTTAAAGTAAAAGTTTTTTTTCGCCATAACCATAAATGCACTTTCATTAAAAAATGAAACATGGTCTGAAGTAATCAAACTAAAATTACATGTTGCACTCACGAAACATTTACTTGGACAGAATCTAATGAAAGTAAATCCCCATCAAGAGAAAAGCAATGTAACATCTTTTCGAAGGAAACTTTAAGCCAGTTCAATTTACATTAATAATTTACTGTTTAGTTACCCATAATACAAAATAAAAAAGAGAGCGAATAGGTAATAGGTCGACGAAACCAGTGACTTTTCAGTTTCCAAGTAAATACTGCGTGTTTAGTGTGATAAATGTCCTTTTGGAGTCTTCTGACTAGCTATAGAGCAGCAGAAAAATGTTGAAAACAGTGGCCTCAGTCTTTTCATAAGTTGTATAGTCTCTGACCACCTTAATATACTGTATTCGTGTGTAATACAACGGTATAATTTGCCAAGAGACATTTTATTTTCCATGTGATGTCATCACACCATTTTCCTGGAATAGAATCATCTCTCTTCATATTCTTTCGTTTATGAAATTATCTAAGGTTTTTATGAATGAACCATATTTAGGCAACATGTCATCACACACAATTTGCTTAAAATAAAATGAGCCTATTACGTCGGGTCCTTTTGATCACGTGTTTATCCATGGACTATTTATTCAGGTGACGCCCCCTCTAATTTTTGCCATCATCAGTATCAAGGTGCGGCTGAGAGAAACAAGTGTCTGAGTGAAACCAATCTGAGAAGTCATTCCTCTGTGAGATTACAGGTAGGCTTAATCTATCGACTTTTTTTAAATGGCCCGTTATTGTTCATTTAGATGGCTGGATTTCAGTAGCGAATACTTTTTGTGACCTATAGCATATGCACATTAATTGTGCGGCATCTTTCGAAGACACCATTAGGGTTTACGAGCTCTTCAAGTTTTCTGCTGCTTCATCACTTCAATTTTAAAATAAATTTTCTGTGAGTACAACAATAGGGTTAGAAAAAATTGGCAGAAGGTATTTTTGTTGATACTTTTTTCCGACGTGAACCGCCTTTTTTGAAAAGCCTTGTTAAACTTTTTTTTTTGCCAATTTCGCAGTCCCAGCCTTGCTAGGTACAGATTTCTCTCAAGAGGCATCATTGATGATCTAGTTCCAGTCTGTTTCTCCACGCTCCATATACCAGCCCCCAGAAAGCTATGCTGAAAGTCTAATCTAATTCAAGGTTTTAAAAATAGTTAACTAACTAAAACAAAATTTTTGAGTGACGTTTGAGTCTTTTAAAAATGAAAATGGCGGGATAAATCCAAAATGGAATTTAAATTCGTCTTTAACGGAATCAAATCAGAGTTTTCCCAGTCTCACTACAAGCTTCTCGTTCAGACGGTTTTTCCTTCACCGAGGGAAAAATGTTACCTTCGTTCGTTCCGTATAATATAACTTTCTAGCCATTTTTGTTAGTTTTTATTTCCTTGTTATGTTCTGGCTGCCCATGGTAGTCTTCGAATTTCGGTTATCAGGAGTGTTAACCAAGTCCCGAACGAAGCACCATAGAATGCAATTTCTGTCCTCAAAGATATCTTAGACAAAGGTCAAAATTGCTTATGGCGAACTTCATAATAACAATACAGATTATCGGAGCAATGTACAAGTCAATAACACGAAACAACCTCAAATTTGAGGGAAAAAAAACCCAAACTTCCTAAGCTCGAAACCGAAATACCCTCAACTCACCGAAAACGAAGCACCCACTCTCACCTGCGGTGAACACGCCTGCAATTAGCTAATATTAACCAGTCAATTTCAAGGGTGAAAATCCCCTCTTGTCATATTTACCTGGCGCTTTTGCTCACGATGGCTCAAAACACGTTTGCGGTATTGCGGTGCTAGTGTTGACCATTTTTCTTTTTTTGCGGTGGGTGATTTTGGTAATTGTAGTCATGAGTTGCGATATTGTGGTATTTCTAAAGGTGTGAGGTGTGCTGTTTATTGTGTTTAGGTCTATTTTGGACATGAACTTGTGGCCAAAGTGATTTGCCGATTTTACTGGTTTTTGTTTTCTTTTTTTGAGGCGTCAGTTGTGGTGCATGCGCGATTAATACTCATCCCACTCTACATCTACTTGACGATATTTGCAATCGAAAGAAGGCACCAATTATGCTCTTCGCTGAACGGAAGTAGTTCAAACTTTTGATTTTGTCGATCAGATCCCATGGTGTTGTGATCATTTAAATGAAACCGCATGATAGTATTTACCAATAATTTTTAAAAGGATAATATTATATAATAATAATATTAATGTGCTTGTGATAAACGTGCTAAACAACCTTCTTGCCTTATGTTCATGTTGCTGATCTCTTTGCAACAAGTTTTATTTCTTTTATTACGTATACGATTTTTTTTGGTCACCGATTACAACAAATGTTTGCTATAACTACAGCTTTTTAAATTACGAAATTTTAATGTCCTAAAAGTTCGAAAAGGTTATTATGAATAAACTTATCCGAGTTTTTCTTGCACGAAATTGATACAACATCATCAGGTGTAGTCTGATGATGGCATACCACGGCATACAGGGTGAAATTACTCTTTGTCGCAATCTTCTATAAATAACAAACACGCAAAAATAATAATAATAAAAATTACCCTGAATCTGAGGATGGGTCAGCTACTGAGCTTGTCGAAATGTCATTGCGCGATCGCTGGTTAACGCGGGGGTTTGTTCTAGGACTGCAGCGTGACAGCCTGCAAATGAAATAATTCTGTAACATTCTGTTCTGCTACACAATAATAGTATTACAGTGAGTTTGAAGATCACTGCCTGCTACTGAAGTACTCATGATCGACAATGTTCGGAAAGTAGTATCATATATCGGAATCTAACATTTATTTGAGAGCACAATGGCAATTTTTTAATGACAGTTTAACTGTGCTAATGCACGGCGATGATATTAAGTTTAAACGTTTTACACCGATATTTTTTCTCAGATCAAAGCATTCATGGCGATGAGTGGAATCAGAGAAGCAAGCCCGGAGAGTGATGAGAAAGTTTTGGACTTTGATGATGCTACTTTGGAAGGTAAAGATACTTAAGCAACAATCAATAGTGTATAAAAGCATTTTTAAACATAGCTAGGGACGATTGAAATTAAAAATATACACAAGAGAACCTTTGTTAAAAGATTAAAACCCCAGTCAAGTTGCGGCATTTTCTACTTTCAACGGAGCCACGACAGTATTCAGTGAGTACTAAATTCAAAAATTAAACAAGGGAATGGTTAGAACTGTTGATAAACAATATTGACAGTACAAACAAGTACAGTTTATTTACGTAAGAGCTACAGTCAGGCAGTCATATTTATAATTAACGGAACGCTTTTTTTGTAGATTGTTGAAAAGCAAGCATAGTATCAGCACGAAAACAGAAAACAAACAGCAAACAAACAAATTGAACAGCAAACAAACAAAATTGAACAAACAATCAATGTAAATTGCAATTTACTAAGCTGGTGTCGTCTAGTGTTCTCTGGGGTTACAAGTTTTTGTCATGTCAGGAACGGAAAAGACATTTGTTTGTCAGCGGCCATCTCATTGAATGTGCAATAAATAATCCCCCTCCTTATTTATTTATTTGTTTATTTTCTATTTGTTATCATTTTCTGCTTCTCTCTCCTGTTTTTATCTCTCATTCCAATTATCGCCCCACACCTTCAAGTAAACTAAATCCCGCAACGTCCCATACTTTTTTAGAACCTTAGGTTTTAAGGCATTTTAATGAATCCTCTCTGTTTTTAGCGATAGCAGAAGTTTACAAAACTGAAGGTGATGAGGCGTACTCAAAGGAAGATTACAGCAACGCTGTTTACTTTTACGCTGAAGGAATTAAAGTGAAGTGCAAGAACGAGGACCTTAAGTCTGAACTGTACAGCAACAGAGCATATGCAAACCTTCTTTTAGGTGAGGTTTCCCATTTGTGTTTCAGTTCATGAGGTCAGTTGTATCTTGCAAAGACTGGCAAATTAGCATGGCCAGCGAGTGCTCATCGCATTTGACTCGCAATTCGCCGGAGTTACTGGGTTTGAATCGGGCGCGATTAGTCGAGCACAAAGTGGGAGACACAGTGTAGCGCGACGCGCAAAGGAAGAGAGTTGAACGCCTGATATAATGCACCTGTCAATGTAATGCCGGCGGAGGGGGAGGCAGGGCATAGGGTGGGGATTTGACTTTTTTCAAAAATTTGCAATCAAATTCCCTGCCCACGGGCAAATCATTCCAGTCAAATGCAACCAAATTTCCCCACCCCAGAATGCACACTGCTTTCAATCCCAAGGCAGAACCTAAGAAAGGCACAACAAAAATATCTCCAAATAAAACTCTGCAATCTTTTATAAACGTTGCTGCATCACCAAAGATACATGTTCCTGTTACAGCTGCAATTATACGTTCTAACCATAATCCGTGTTACACTGCGTAGAATACATAAACCTTTCGGGGGAAGTCCACATTTTGTAAGTCTAAATATACCGTTCTTAGTAAAGGGTAAAAGAAAGTCAGTTTTATAAGTTTACAGTGATGGTAGCGAATGAGCCACACACTAATCAATTGTACTTGCAAAAATCGACTTGGTTTCTCTTTACTTCCGTTTACTTTGATACCACAGTATTTTAAGAGGTTCAGTTGATCAAAAACACGTTAAAACAAACGAAATTTGAAGACAAAACAGTGAAATCCACTCAGCTTTCGCTTGTTTTCATTGGCCTTCACGACTTCCTGATCTTTTCAAACCGTATGGCGCATGCGTGAAGCGTGGAAGGGGGAAACATATGTTCGGTCTCGGTCTTTTTCGTCCTAGTCGGCAGTCAAATATCTCCACGTCGGGCGAAGAAAGATTCAAATATCCCTTCCCCCGGGAGAACAAGATCAGTCAAATGCCCTACCCGAGGGACAACAAAGACAATCAAATCCCCACCCCATGCCCTGCCTCCCCCCCCGCCGGCATTACATTGATAGGTGCATAAGTTTACCGTGTATGTCGAATAGCTTCGGGACGCTGAATTTGTTTCTTGATCAGGTCGTGCGTTTACCACGTCAATCACGCTTTTAAGTAGCCAACTGGTTGAACTTCTGTTAGTTAGGCTTTTAATGTGTGTGTGTGTGGGTAGAATCCTTGTAAAGTAGAAGGAACAGCTCACTGAACTACACGGCTATTTTATTTTGGTTAGTATGTATTGTGTTAATAGGCCTTTTGCATCAGTTGATCATGTGATCAACTTTCGGTAACACGAAAACAGATCGCTTTTGAAAACCTTTGTTGGTACAAGCTAAAAAAGCATATTAAAATTAGGTAGCCTGTAAATTTTCAGCCGTATATCTCAAAAGTAGTCCTTCTAATTTTTGGCGGCCGCTGCAATCACTTGTATGAGAAAAAGCAATTTTAGCCAACCAGTCACGCCTGAATGGTTTTCCATACAATTCCTTGTAAATTTCGACGTTTTCAAACTGTCGTGAAATATTTCCTTAAGTATTACGGGGGCTCAAATCTCCTTTTAATTCATAACAGGTACTTTGAGCCCTTAAATGCGTAAGGGAAATATTTAACGACAGTTTAAAAATTTCAGAATTTACAATGAGTTGTATAGAAACCACTGTTTACCGAAAGTTGATCACGTGATCAACTAATGCAAAAGGCCTATTTCTGGACAGAAGGAAACATTTTTTTATTTTCTGATGTTTGCTGTTTTATTGGGACTTGAAATTGAAATTTCCTCCCAGTCCAATGTTTGGCACCTTTTACCGTTCTTGAATTGAAATGTTGTAGTCGCTTTGTAATCTACCTGGCTTGCTGCATTGTTTGAAAGCTGTTGGTGACTTTTGAGTTTTTCTCCAACATTCTTAGGAAACTACATTTACTCACTGGTAGACGCTAAAAACGCCACGGACTTACGACCATTGTCAATCAAACCTATGATAGCAGGTAGCCTTTAACAGTAGCATTACGAATAAAGTGAAGCGGCGTTACCTTAAGGTGGCTCCGTCACTAACATTGGAGCATTTAGCTGTGACAAATTTTCCGTCATAACTTTTTCGTTTTTGGAGCGATGGCTGCGAAACTTTGCAAAGAGCAACAGATATCATTCGGCAAAAGTACGAAATATTCCGATTTCATTGATGGTAAATATTTCTTGAAAAATTAGCGCTTAAAAGGACCCTAGTGTTGAAAGAAAATCACGTCTAGTAAAAAATTTTATTGAAATTTTTTACTGAAATTTCTGGTATCGGCTTTCATTGTCACAATAAATATGCCGGAGAAATTTCAGAAAAATCGTTGGAGCAGAAGTCCGTAACTAAGAGTCGCTGAAAACTCAGCTGTAAAATTGTTTTGGAATTTCAAAAGTAAAGTTACTATCAGGTAGAAGGAGCCACCAGTTTGAATTTTTGGGACAAGTAAATTCAATGTTCGCCAAAAATGAAAACAAAAGCTGATTGCCTATCGTGCTATTCTTTTAAAGGTACTTTTTAGTTTTAGAAGTACTATAAATTGCTCCAAACCTTGCTCTGACGTCGAATGACTTGTTCCTCGACATTTTTAAAATATCTCTTGGAGCTTCTTGGCAGTTTTGGTTCAAACTCCTGCTACATACATTTTGTTGTATTGCAATGCATCCTCAACGGCTTTTTCTGCTGAAAGTTGCTTCCAGTTTAGGTAAAAGGTATTGGGATTGTAAGCTACCTTGTATCGAAGCTCAGATAGAACTGTCCAGCAGGTTTGTTTATGACCAGAAAATGCGCACGAGCGGCACTTCTGCGAGGAATTCGCACCTCAGCCAGGGGGGACGAATGACAATGATGCCCATGTCTGCGAACCGATCTGTATAAACATGTATTGCAGAGCAAACGTAATAATCAAGAAAAAACTACCCATTCATTGAAGGAAGGAGTAACAGAAATTTCAGAGTTGTAAATTTATTCACGGGCATTATTTTTGCGATAATTTTATTTTGCACTGTGATGTAATTCGGTTCACAAGCATGGGCAGAATTGTCGTTCGTCCCCCCTGGTTGAGGTGCGAATTCCTCGCAGAACTGCCACTAGTGCTCATTTTGTAGTCATAAACAAAGGAGCTGGACAGTTTTATCTGAGCTCTGATACGAGGTAGCATCTAACCTCAATACCTTTTTCCTGAGTTGGAAGCAACGAACAGCAGTAAAAGTCATTGAAAATGCATTGCAATACATCAAAATATATGCAGCAGGAGTTTGAGCCAAAACTGCCAAGGGATATTTTAAAAATGTTGAGGAACAAGTCATTCAACATCAGAGCAAGGTTTGGAGCAATTTATGGTGCTTCTAAAACCAAAAAGTACCTTTTAAAGAATAGCACGATTGGCAATCGGATTTTGCTTTCAGAATTAGCAAACATTTGAATTTACTTGTCCCGAAAATTCAAACTGGTGGCTCCTTCTACCTGATAGTAACTTATTTTTGAAATTCCAAAATAATTTCACAGCTGAATTTTCAGCGACTTTTAGTTACGGACTTCTGCTCCTACGATTTTTCGGAAATTCCTCTGGCATATTTATTATGTCAATTAAAGCCGATACCGTAAATTTCAGTAAAAAATATCAGCAAATGTTTTTACTAGACGCGATTTTCTTTGAACAGAAGGGTCCCTTTAAGCCCTAATTTAGCAAAATATATTTACCATCAATGAAATCGGAATATTTCGTACTATTGCCGGATGATATCAGCTGTTCTTTGCAAAGTTTCTCAGCCATCGGGTTAAAAACGAAAACGTTTTGACGAAAACTTCGTCACTACCTTAAAAACTCCCACAGGACACCAACATGGCCGCTGTGACGTCATCTGAAAACACTCTATACGTTCTTGAAGAATTTTCCCTTTTAAAACTTTTGATTAGTAAGGCTGAAATTGAAGCTGAATCAGGGTCAATAGCGTAATAAAGTCATCTTCACAAGTAATGTCAACAGTTTCTTTTGACAACAAAAATAGAGCTTGTTCGTAGCCGCCGGGTGGCGATTAGCCTTCATCGTCTTTTTGAAAAGTTGAGGTCACCAAGCTCCTTCTCTGTAGTCATCAGTATAGAGTCATAAATTTCTGTTTGTCGGCTCGTTGCTCTTCTGAAAAATGAAACGGAAGGGGTCAGGACAGAAGAGATGTTTTCATATGCCATGTATGCCAGTTTCACTGAAGTTGCGTTATACTATTTTCATGAATTCAGGAGCAAAAGCCTCTGTCAAGTTGAGTCTGCGTGAGCTGGCGATCTTCTGGTGTAATACGGGATTGGCAGTATCCTTTTTCTCTGTTTAAGCATGTATGGTTAAAAGATGGTTTTATCTTCACTTGCTATTCGCTTTACTGTTAAGATTTCAACTTGCATATTTTAATGTGATATCGCACTCTTTGGAACATTTCTTGAGTTAAGAGCCAAAAACAACAACAACAACAGCAACAGCAACAACACCAGTAAAACTTAGAAAAACCAAATGAAGTGATTTCTTCCCTTGTTTCACCTAGTTTTATGAATAGGTACAACCCCATGCATAATGGAACAGAAGTATCGCCACGCCTATCTAAGCGCGTGGTGATTTGTAACACTTCCACTATTGCAAATATTCCAAGAGGGAATAATTGGACAAAGAAGTACTCTCCCAGTCATGCCTTTAGGCTCCCTCAACTTGAAAGAAAAGTTATTTTTAAAAACGATGAGAGCTTTTGCGGAAACTGATTCCCCGGTGACAGTCTCGTCTCTAGGACGACTTGTTATAAGACGGTAACAAGACATGTTAGGTCGGAAAAGTTGACTTTTGACGGGAAAATGACGGCAAACACAAGTCTAAACTAGAAACATAAATTAAGTTATAATAATGCGACAATTTCAAGTAATTAAAACGGTCGAAGAAAGGACAAGGCCGTATTTTCCGGGTATCATGGACCTTAAGTAACTACGAAGGTCATATATTTTTGGGACAGTTAGGAAATTTTTGGTGTGTTATTGCCAGTGTTTCTGCTACCAAGTTAGCATGTGACAGGCTCTTGGTCGGTGCAGACGAACAAAAAAAGGCGAACGAGCAGTGATAAAGCAAACGATCGAAAAACGGCGGGAAGAGAGAAGGGAAAAACTACTCTAAACTACTCCACTACTCGGTCTCTCCCCAGCCCCAACACAGTTTTGAGGCCCTGCCAGGGGGGGGGCTCCCATGTCGTTCGTCTGAATTTTAAAACGTCTCGTGTCGGTGTTTTTTAATGCTTCACGTCGCTGTCGGAAATTGAACGAAAATTTTTTGTCTTTGTCGGAATTTTAGCAATTAAAAGGGGGATAGCGATGCGTTGTAAAGAAACCATTACAGTTGTACAATTTCTCAGTTAACCTTTCGCGTATAGAACACCTATACATCACCATTCACAATTAAGGGTGTGTTCCTTTCGGTGAATCCAAAAACGGATTTTCGATCTTAAAATGGATTTCGCGTTCCTTTCGGCAAATCTAAATTTGGATTTTTGATCTGGTGAATCCTTTTTGAAAAAGGATTCACATTGGATTTGAAATCCGAAGAATCCGAATCCAGATTAACGGATTAGTCATCTACGCTGTTCCATTCACAACGGATTCGAAATTAGTCAGGTGACCCAGCTGTATTCCCAGTTGAAGTATTCCCGTAGAGTTTCCTAACTACTGCCATTTGCCGTAAAACATCTGAAAACACTAGAGGATTGTTCATAGTGGTACAGTAAAATATCCATGTGCTGACCATTTGTCGCTAAAGATTGCTTAAAAACACAAATAAGTAAAGGGACAAATAACTGCTATCTTTCTACAAACTCACTTGTGGACGCGATAGGCACTCGATCGTGTTACATAAAAAACCGAGCTACGAAACTGGATCAAACTGAGCCGACAACCTTAAGTAAATTTTCAACTTTAACGGTCTCCTTTCTTGATCTGTTTATGCCCCCATCGTCGTTATTCGAACTGCCGACCACAAAATTCTGCACGGTATAATCGCATAATTAAACATGGCATTTCTTGAGAGGCTCAGGCTGTCATACATACTGCACGCGTTTGCGAAAGGTTACCAAGATCACGAATCAAATTTCGTTCCTTTCGACCGCGAAATCCGGCAAATCTCGGATCAGAAATCTGTTTTTGAATTCGCTTAAAGGAACACTGTCAACACACCCTAAGTGATCCACGTTCAACATTTTTTAAAATGTTGAACGTGATAAATCGTATGTGAAGGCCGGTTAACGGTGGTCTACTCTGTGAGAGCGGTTGGAAGGTCGGTGGTTAGGTTGCCTGGTCCCTGGTCTCTCCACCGTCGTCACCGTCCAACAGAGGTCGACAGGGATGTGAGAAGTTCAGGAAAAAGCAAAGTATTCACCATTTTCACACAGACCATAAAGCACCTTCTTTACCCCCCAAAACTTGGCATCACCATTGTTTTTTATTTCTCTTGGAGCGACTGTATTAAAAACACCCTGGAGAATTTGGAAACAATGGTTATGCAAAATTCTGAGGGGGAAAACAAGGTGCATTATGGTCTGTATGAAAGTAGTGATTACAAGAGATGTCAAGTGTGCGTAAAATTAAGCTATTTGACGGACAACCTAGTTCCAAGGTCTCCCTGGAGTTGTGCGGGGTTACGTAAATGATAACCTGAGATCAGGCGTCTATTTTTTTTTTTTTTTTGCTTCTTTGGCTCGAGAGGGAAAAAAAATAACGCCTGATACATTTATTTAACAAGCAGTCAACCGCCCCCTAATTTACATAATCTAACGTTTGCTTGACCTGTCATGTTTTTAGCCAATAAGCGTTTACCAAACGGGAATCAAATTTTGGCGCGAATAATGTCTCTTTTGAAATCAGTACGTTCGTGTTCAGATGGCGCTTCGTAAAACAAAAAAATTAATGTGTTGTTTTTGTGATGAAATATGCTGCTAGCTGGAGCTGTCGTACCTTTATGAATAGCTACAAATAATAAAGAATTTACTGGTTAAAGTTCGTTGACTTCGTTCTGTACCGAAAGCGGTGGAAAAAAAATTAGGCTGAAGCACCATATTTCACGAACTGAAAGGTGTTGTGAAAGCGAAGATCGCTCAGAATAATTCGCAGCATGATTTCTGAAGGAGGAATTACAGTCAAACTAGGTCAAGATTCCATTCATGAATTGATTATTTGAAAAGTGAACCCGTTTGTCGCTTCTGTAACTTGTAGCCGGTATCAAATTGCATTCAAATGATCGGTGAAGTTTTGACTGCAACTGTTTTGGTATACGATGAGATGGTAAATATTTCAATGGATGAAACTTCTATTTAGGCATTCTTCAAATTCAAGAAAACTGAGCGGGCAGAAATTTCATAACGAACTCGCGTGTGTATTCACTGCTTATTACGCAAGCAAAAATGCAGACTGAAATCAACAACAACTAACGGATGGCGTCATTTTGGCCAATCGGAACAGCGCAAATCATCCGCATTGTTTCCTATCCAATCAGAAAAAAGTCCAGATTCTGGCATTTCTACATGTGATCCGACAAAGAAATGTATCATGCCCTCTTCCCGTGAGAGACATAAAGGGATAATAGGGAGAGGGCATGATCTCAGGCTACGTAAATGAAGACTACGCGACTGGCCAACGCGACGCGCTCAGGAGAGTCCACTGAGACTTCTGACGAGAGAATCTCTGAAGCGCAAGGAAAATTGACGAACATTACTTTTTTTTGGCATGCAGACTGGTGATAAATTAGCCAAACCACCGTTCTTTGTCGCATATTCTCGGCTTTGCCGTCACTGTCGCAATTTGGTCGAAGGAGGTTGTCGCTTGTCGCGATTTCATTTTAGGCTCTGTCGCTACTTTTTGGGTCATGTCGCTTGTCGGAATTTACCCTGGCAGGGCCTCAGTTTTCGCGCACCTTTTCTCGATCCCGTTCGGCCTCACTGTGTTGGAGCCGGGAACAGGCTTTTAAGACCCAGATTCGAGACCAAGCCTTTTGGCAACGAAAACGCCACCGAAGAAAGTGAATTCGCACTGTTTCAAATTTCAAGCTTTTATTTCATCTCCTCAGTTTTTCAACTGTTAACGAATTTTCCAGAACTGCGTCTAAGTTGGGAAAAGAAAAACAGAATTGTTGTGTCACGTATCCACGTTCTCCAAGGTAGGCCTGTCCCGATTGTGCTAGGCAACTTTTGAGCAACTTTTGGCGTTTGGAGCAATTTTTTGCAGTTCTGGCAACCCCGAGCAAATTTTGCCTTTCTGAGCAACTTTTGAGCAAAATATAGGTTTGGAGCACAAATCAAGAACGAAAACGTCAACGATTTCATAGAAAACTTCAATTCATGCGAATTTCTTGAATGTTTATCAAATTTTTTTAAATATATTTTTTTTAAATTAAAAATAGCTACGTTTCCAGCTATTTTAATTTAATTATTATTTTATTTTAATTAACGTTGATATAAAAATATCAAGAAATTTAGATGGCAACTTTTGAAATTTAGGTAGCAACTTTTTTGATTTTTGGTAACTTTTTAGCAACTTTTTGGCATTCCAGTGAGCAACCTTCCAGCATTTTACGAGCACAATCGGGAAAGGCGTAGTCGTATGCTAGACGTACTCGATTTTGGCGTTTGATTTTTAAACGGCAATGCGTTTAAATTTTCTTTCGGTTAGGGTGGTTCTGTGTAAAAAGAACTGCCCTAAACGCACGAATTTACCACCGGTAAAAAATTTGTACTGTGCCGTGTGAATGTATCAGTAGTGATGCAACGACGGCAAAGAAATGTACTTAAAAGCGTGATGCTCGTGCAAAGTTTTTGTTTTGCTTATTAACCCTATTCAGACCGGGGGGAAGAGGGTTTGAGGCCTCTCTCGCTAAAGGTTTGATAACTTTAAGACCGTTTTAAATTTGAGCACCAAACTTAGTAACTTTCCCTAAAAATTATTTGGGAACATCTTGAAGTCGTCGTGACGTGTACGTCATCATTGAAGTTACCGTGGGAACCGATTTTTGAAAGCCATGTTTTTTCTACCAAAGAGGGGTAATTTCTAGTTTTATTATTATACTTATTTAATTATTGCTTTTAAGTTAATTTAGCAATATTTTATCAAATTTATTGAAACTGCTAGTGTAATCCAGTCTATTTAGCTGATTGACTTGAGACGAAAAAAAAAAAAAGCAGTCGCAGGGTTCTATTTTAACAGTGTCAATTTATCTTGGGATTTCACAACTTGGGGATTTTTTCGCTTCACAAGCATCCTCTACGGGGTTGTGAATAAAATTGATGATATTTATATAAACTCAAAATGGCGGACC